GTTACCAGTTTAAAGTCGCTCAGAGAGCTATGGAAAGGGCTATGCTCGGAGTATCCCTGAAGGACCGCATCAGAAATGAAGTAATCCAAAGTCACCGACATAGCCCACCGAATTAGCAAACTGAGTGGCTGGTCACATTAGCCGCAGAACTGATGGCCGTTGGAGCCGGAAAGTTCTTGAGTGGAGACCGCGACTCGGTAAACGTAGTGTAGGACGCCCTGAGACAAGATGGGATGATGATATTCGTAGGCTGGCTGGAGTGGGCTGGATGAGAGCAGCACAAAATCGGGAGCAGTGGCGGGCATTAGGGGAGACCTATGTCCAGCAGTGGACGAACATGGGTTGATGATGATGTATAAGGGTTCCGTTTTTGCTGACCGAGAAAAATACCAACCTATATTGCATTAATAAATTTAAATTATTTATACTATACCCAAAACTTAGTTTATATTTATATTGTATGACACAGCAATCAAAATGCAGGTAAACAATTATGTAATGAAAGGTGACTTCATCAATCATCTCTGAAATCATTTTTCAACATGACGACTCTGTAAATAATAAAACAGGGAGAAAAAACAGCCCTTGCTGGGTTTCTTGCCGGTTTTTCTCAGTACAAGGTCTCCCGTCGTAGATTTACGAACCGATGGCGTAGCTTCTAGACATTCATGAGTGCTTGTAACAGCCTAAACTGAATAAATGATTTTGATTATTTATAAATTGGTGTCGTTTCCCCTGAAATACCTTAGCTGTCACCACATAATGAGTATACTAGGGGACGCACGGGTCTAGAGCGCATGATATCAACTTTATGCCAACACGGCGCGTGCTTCAAGTGTGTACGCGGCCTAATAATGAGGTGCTGTAACATGATATCATGTGTTGAACTTTAGTTAGGGCTGTTTAACATTTTTTTTTAAGAATATTATAAGGGAATTAAATAAGGGAAATTAAAATGAACATTGAGATGAACTGATGGGGGTAAATATTACTAAAATGATTTTTTAAAATAATTGTAATTGTTTGTTCAAGGCATAGAAAACCCAATAAAATGTCATAATATTGCAAAAACAAAAATGAAATAATGCTTTATTTATTGATCGATTTATTGAGTTTAATCTGTCCACCTATTAATTTTATGGCTACATTGAAGCCTTCATTGATTAAATAAAAAGTTTATTTGTGATTTTAACTCCAAAATCAAAGGTTGTTTTATGGTTATGTTACTTTTTACGATTTAGGAAACTTAAAAATAAAGTATTCCTAATTCCTAATAAGTTGAATAAACAAACAAACTAAGAGACGATAACAAAACACCAGGATAAAATTATTTATTAATCTATACACAATGCTTTTATTATATTTTATACCTTACGCCGATCACTTAAGATGCGTTATTCTAGCATACAGGAACATAATACACATCGCTATTTATTGTTGACCCCTGATTCTATACAATTACATTATGAATCGTTCACATTTTTGTCATAGAGGGGAGTTCAAGGAATTTTGGGCAGCTCCACTGCGTGACCGGTCCCTAAAGACAGTAATCTGATGCGCGCCATCTAGTGTTGAGTAGGATAATCACTCGGTAATTGACGTAAGCTTGCGTTGACTACAAACGGAGGGAAATTGTTTTAACCAGCTACAATCACCGTTCACTATTCGAAATACAAATCATTTTGTTTCCGATTCCGACACAAATACCCTATTCTAAGTATATATTCTAATGAGCGAGTTTTTTAGATAATGATTCAGAATTATATGATCGGGTTTATTCTTCTCTTGGAACTAAATTTAATTTTAAAATATTTTATAATGGTGTCGATTCTGGCGTGATTCTCTAAACTTACAAGTAAATGTAACATCAGTCTCACCTTTTCATTCTGTATAGAGAAGGATCCTGCATCCTTATGCACTGATTTCAAATTTAAGTTTAGCTTTAGAGAATCATGCCCAAATCGACATCAATATCTAATAATAATATTCTCGTGTCACGGTGTGCGTAATTGAACTACTCCGAAACTCGAGCGATTTTCGTGAAATTTAATATGTATATTCAGCAAGCTCATTAAAAATCTGTTTAGATTGATGATGCTCTCTAGCGTTGCTGCTACGGAAACCTGGTGCTTTCTTTATAGATGTATCTGTAGCTACATTTTGTGTCAGTCGATTAGTTTCACAGGACATTTGCAAGTTGTTCTTTTGGTGTTCTCGTTTATCGGAAGATGGCGCTGTTATCTCATTTGATTGAGTTTTATGCCTGGTAATTTAATTCCTTACTATTCTCGTGAGTGAAGTAGATAAGCCCTGTTTATGTATTCGCTCGTGTTATTTTTGACAGTCGAATTACATAATATGTGCAACAGTTGATTTATTTTTAATTCATATTCAGCTTTTAACTTTTTCATTTTATTATTTTCTAATGTTAATCTTTTTATTTCATTTTCAGCTATTTTCAATTTTTCTTGTGATATTTATATTTTACCATTTAACTCTTCAATTAAGTAACTCATGTTTAGTTTCAATTCTGATATACTTCTATTTTTCTCCCTAGACGGCGTTGTGAATGATGTAAACTCTGCTTCATCGCTCGATAGTTCTTCAAAGGAATGTCTAACTGGTTTTTGTGTTATTTTTTTTGTTTCTTATATTCTCTGATACGCTTGCTGGAGTGTTTTCAGACGATGTAGAAGATTTATTTAAATTCGGGGTTGAAGTAATGGCATTTGATGTAGATGAGCAAGCGTCACATTTAAAATCCTTTTTATTTATATTTGCGCAGTGCAAATGAAAACTGTCTTGACAAATACTACATGATAATTGTTGTCTAATTGTTATCTGTTTTCAACATCTTTTGTAGTTTAGAACCATCTTGTTTATTTAAACTTTTTATTTTAATTCTGTTTAATATTAAATAAAATGTCTTTTTCGTTCAAAACAAAATATTGTTGATTACAGAAAATATTATTTTAAAATTAATCGTCGCATTGGATTTGAACCTGGATCTACGGAGCAGTAGATAGATTAGTATGCCTTTGCGCTACGGCGCATTCATAAACCATTCATTCATGAGTGCTGGTATCCAGACATTCATGAGTGCTTGTAACAGCCTAAACTGAATAAATGATTTTGATTATGATTATTATGATTATGATTATCACGTAAATTTATGCTTTTCTTTTATAGCCCGGTAGGCAAATTGTACCCCACCTGATGTTAAGTGGTGATAAAGTCCAAAGCTTATATGAGATAGCTGGTACAGCAGTAAACTTTAAATTGACAAGAGTTAATATAAAGAAAATATAACAAGAAAAAATTCCACGCGGCCCAGGCAGCAGACGGGACTCTAACCTGCACCCTTCGCTATCCGGGCGAATGCACTGACCATTATGCTACCTGCCCTGTGGGCCATGTCGAATTCTTTCCAGAGGGCAGCACCATCTTTTCGCATTGTAAGTAACCCACAATTAATCGTACAGTACAGTTAATCGTTGTCATTTTCCATAAAGAATGGAAAGGGGGGATTGATGTTTTTAGTTTAAAGTTTAGAGTATCAAGAGTCGACAACAGTCTCGCTGTCAAAAAAACGAGTGTGTATATGACCACACGACTGAAGTGAAACTTCTTTAGCTCCATCTGTATGTATATATAAATATATGTATGTGTGTGTGTATAATATATACATGTATGTACATATACATATTTCATTTACTAGCTAGAAGGGAAGTAGAGAAATAAAATGTGCACGCGCACTGCTTTCTCTTGCTCATATCCCTCAACTCAACCTCACTCAACTTCCGTTCGCCACACACTGTTCGTAACGCGCAACGCATTCGCCAGATTAACTTCCAAGCCAAGCGTGCCTAAAGAAGTTTCACTTTAAACCCGGCTGAGTCCCATTTCAAATCTTAAGAATAATATCAGCTCGATCATCGAAAATATTACGTCACCATTAAATTTTGTTTACTCAAACTGGTCTAGACTGCGATGCGATAGCCTATTTCTATATTCTGACAGCGGCAAGCGCGTGACCTTCGGCTCTACGGTTCCAACCACAGACCTAGGTTGAAACAGACGCCGCATTAACGTCAAATTATATAGACAGTGCAAAATTTTAGTAACTTTACAGAAAAAAGAAGAGAGTAGAGCGCTAGTCTGGCGAAATAACCATCACCTTACAGAATACCAATAATAAAATAATCACTACATTTTGATTGTGTTGTGTTTCTGTCGATGTGTAAAGATCTTGGATTCTACTCTGGGTTATTTATAGTTCTTTTAGTCAATTTTATTTACATTTGATTATTAAATTGAAAGTATATGTATGTTATATACATGTATGCACATTTAACTAAAGAACAAATATTAAGATATTTATAACTAAAAACCTTATAATAACTTAAATACATTATTAAAAGGAGTCCCTTTAGGCAAGTTTCCGAAGAATTGAAAGTACTGACTTAACATTTAAAGTATTTGCCCAATTTATTGACTGTATGGATTGTATGGATATTTTTTTATTTGAATCGCAGCATGACGATAAGAATATAAATATTTTTTTCTTTTATGCCGATATTCGCACGACTTGTTATGTACTCATCTAAGTAATTATCACTGAACATCTTTCTTACACATGTTGTTACAAATACATTTTTGAAGTTATACTTCTTTAGGCGCGTTATGAAAAAATGATGAGAGTAAAATTTTATGATGTGCGCGCATCACTGTAACACAAAATTTTAACAGCATGAAGTTGGTCGCTTTATTAAGAAAATCTACCAACAAAATAGAAATAGAATCTCTATTTAGTGGGTGCTAACGACTGCATTGTGAAGGCCTATCAAAAGTATTTATTAATCTGGAACAACGGAACCAAAGCGCGATTCAGGAGACTACAGCGCCATCTCTTGACCATTGGTGTAGTAGAACCAAAAACCACATCTTTATTTTTTGTAATAAAGTAACAGTTATAGGTATTCATATTTATAATATTTATCCACATGTTTCTAGTTTGTATATTCGGAATACGTGTTTGAGTTTCATACAAGTGCAAATCACATATGTTCTAATAAATTATATTCAGTAGCGATTTTAATTGAATATTTTGATTATTTATTTATTTTTTCAAATTAAAACTGAACTTTATTGACTGTGTCCTTTTCCAGACTTTTTATTAATTTATTGTAATTAATTATTTGCATGCAATTAAAAACTAATTTTAAACGATGCCAAAGAAGGATAACTTCTCACGCGCCTACATAAGTACACGCACCCATTTTTTTTCTTTCTTTCCCCCTTTTGGCACGAGAAGAAGTATATACTTGCGCTGTTTTTTTCTTTCAATAGTGATTTGTGATATAAGTGTGTGGATGTCCAACTAAATTGTTTGTTTATTTCGTACGTCTCGTATAACACACGTACTAGATTATTCCGTTGTTTTCTCATGTAAGTGATTTTTTTGTTCTGTTTTGAGAAATAAATGTCTTAAACAATACACTTGCGCTGTCTATTTCAATCTTTGTCTATGGTTCCCGCGCGAGGGAGGTGCGGTAGCTCTCATGATCGATTCTATCTTGTCGATGTTCGCTTCGGCGTATTATTGTTTGGTTTGGTTGGTGGATTTATTTACATTTTACTCTTTTGCGGATCGTTATGCATGTAAGAAGTGAATTAGTTACAAATGATTCGTATTTGTGTCTAATGATTATTTTTAATTAAGTAGCTGTGACTTATAATTGGTGTTGTAATTAGAATTTGGATTTTAAACAGAAATCTCATAAAAGCTTTCTAAGGTAAGCACTTATCTATAACTTTTTATTCGTGTTTTAAACAAAGCCCCGTATTATAGAAAGATTCTCAGTGATTGATCTAGTCTTGAGTTTGAACACGAGAGTTGAAGTTACTATATACATATAAACTTACTAGCAAACCCAGCGAACTCCGTTTCGCCACCAGATTTATGTAACATTTCGTTTTGTGATTAAAAGAAAACGATTTTTTTTAAAATTTTTCCTGAATTTTCTTAGCTATAAACCTCACGGAGCCCGAGACCTTTCCAACGAATGCAAAACCGTGGAAATCGGTTCGTGCGTTCTGGAGTTATAGCGTCAGGAAGGAAAACCCGACTTATTTTTATATAGTAGATTACAATTTAGCCTACAATGCCCGTTGCTAGACTTAATTTTAGATACGTCTTAAATTGAAATTTAAAACTTAGGCCTGTATTATAGAAAGATTCTCAGTGATTGATCTAGTCTTGAGCATAGTTAGAAAGGGATGTCGCTATATATAGCACATAGCGGCATCCATTTCTAACTGTGTTCAAGTAAAGATATAATACTGTAATACGGGCCTTAGTGTTAGTGATATAGTACTTTTTATTTTATTTTTAAATTTTCTCCCTTATTAGTAGGAGAACCCTAGCGGAGATTTTGGGAAAGTACTCGTGCCCGGCAGAATAACATTACCTGAACCCTCTATGCGGGCAGTAAAAAAAATGCAACAAATGGCCATGACTTTTGGCCGCGTCCAAATCGTCAGTCTTTTGAATAGGAGCTACTGCACGGTTCACGTTACATCTTCTAGGGTTATCATCCATACGGATTAGTCCGGAAATGTCCGGACTTTATGGCAATAGTCCGGACTTTACGGAAAATTACATTGATTATGAATAATAAAAGAACATATTGATTCAATTACAATACCATTGTAACTAAGTGAGTAATTGTACCGTTTTGTGACTAAAAAAGTCCGGACTTTTTCGAAATGTCAGGATTTTTGTCAGGACTTTTGAATTTCCTTAATACTTAGTAACCCCCCCTCATACGTCCACACCATACAACTCCGTCATCAGAAAATTTACGTTTATAATGAAGTACTCAAATTAGAGGAACTCGATGGCGCAAGTGGTTAGCGCGTTCGGTTGCGATCGTTAAAGTTAAGCAACTTTTGCAGTGGTTGGTCATTGGATGGGTGACCAAAAATTTACTATCTCGTGCCGTGCTTCGGAAGGCACGCTAAGCCGTTGGTTCCGGCTGCATCTGCAGTTGTTAGCACCCATCAATCCGCACTGGGCCCGCGTGGTGGGTCATGGCCCAATCCACAGGGAAGGCCTGTGCCCCAGCAATGGGGACATTAATAGGCTGATGATGACTCAAATTATTATTGTTCAATAACATCACATTCGTTTTATTTTCAGAATAATGGCTTCTAAAGTCATTTTATTTTTTATCATTGCCGTGACCGCTGAGCGCGCCTCTTCACTAGAAGGTCAGTTTGATTTAATTGTTTGTTTCAATTTAATTAAAAAACTTATGGGTTTGTCCTGCAAAACAACTGGAATTAATATATTTAAGAATTTTGAATTAAATTAAAGAAATGCTTATTGGATAAGTACCTAAATGCATTTACAATTTAAAAGAGCATTTTAGAACTTTTTAATATCTAACTTTTATTCCGTCCCGTTGAATACTTATAGTACGTCCGAAACGAGCTTTAAAGTTAAGACATTATTTGTAATTACAAACATTGCTACGGTAGTAGTACTGTTGCATTATATTGCGATATGTGTGAATGTTTGTGTACGCCTATATATTTAGCTTGCGTTTATTTTTATTTATTTTCAATTTACTATTTACAAAACTTTTGTCTTTTTTTCCGCCCAACCTCCCTCATTATTATTATCGTGCTTTCTACTTTTTCCAGCTCATTGGGTTGTCTGGAAGAAATCGCTGATTAGCGATAAGACCGCCCTTTGTGCAACTGTAATTGTTTTGCCTTGTATTTGTATTTTATTCGTGTTATTTATGTTAATGTTGTGCAATAATTATCTTATCTTATTGTACTCAGCATGACAATAAAGCTTGCTATTCTATTCTGTTCTAATCAATTTTAATTCAAGTAGACGCTTTCGATGCCAAAATTATCGCTCGCACTATTGCCTACGCCACAACACCATAAGGTAGTGTTTAATTATACTACAGTCTTTTGTAAGGTGGAGGTAACTTCCTCAGACGGGGGCTCCAATTCGATTCTCCAAATCCTTTCTTAATATGTTTGTAAGTAGGTATTTAAACATGAATCCAGTAAGAAAATCTTTCAATCGGCCATTCATAACTTATGATCATATACTGCTAACGCTATCTGTTGTGTAATAGCGGAACTAAAAGTTGTCTTACGGGACATGCCCCCCACCCACGGATGTTCCTATACTGTTAACGCCATCTGTTGTGGAGTAGCGGAACTAAAAATTCTCTTTTGGCAGGTGATACGGTCGCGGAAGCGGTGAACAACACAGATTTAGTAAATATGCAGTGGGGTATTTGCTTGAAATGTATATGCAAGGATGACAAAGTGGATTGCTCCAACCAGGAGCTCACCAAGTACTTCTCTAAGGACGAATGGGCAGGTCAGATCAATCGATTCAAGACATGAGCGAAGCGAATGTTCCAACGACATTCCAATTAAATAGTTCCTAAATTAACGCATCTGACTGAACCTTACAGTATTTCAGAAGAGTGTCACCATCACCTCAACTCGTGTAGTTGAGTTTGCAATAAACGATTGACTATTCTTTGTATAAATTTCTATGGGTATACGCGCACAACATCAACTCCGTATCGTCACCGGATCGACTCGCTCGCACGTGTGCTGGCCGATGTTTGCAAGGCGCTGCTCCTTGGTGTATCGCGCGCCGCCTGCGATATGAGAACATATTTCATTTTCTTCTTCATTAAGCGCGATTCAACCTATTCATGGTTTGCAAAATTAAATATTGTGACGAACTCTAACCCACAATTTAAATGGCACTGATATAAAGAGGCAGTATTAAATAGCAGTTTTGGTAAGTTAATAATTATAAATGGCACGTTTAATAACTAGTTCAGCAGTTAAAGCTATGCAGTAAAGTAAATAAATATGGGTAATAAAAAATAATGAAATGTATCAGTGAATATATTACTGAGCAGGAAAATAATTAAATGGGAGAGGTAAAAAATATTGAAAGAGCGGTTACGTGTGGGCAGTAATTAATCGGAATTTGTCGGTAAGAAATCACATTCTAAGCAATTCTATAAACAATGAGGTGGTAAAATAAAATAAAAAAAAACAGTACTTAAGTAGTAATGAAAAATTAAATTACTTTTGCTTTTACTGAAGGAATTAAATAAAACAAATTGTATAATAATAATATGAACTTTTATTCGAAACATACTTAAGTTATTAAAATTACATAGAATTTGCTTAGTAGCAGCTAAAATAAACATATTGTATAATAAGAGCAGGCCACCCGCTCTAAAAAGCTCCACCCAACTAACGAACAATTACCTCTCTTTTCAATGAATTTGAGTTCAGGTGTCACAGCTCGCTATGATCTGCCGAATTATTTATCGAACCCCTCATTCCATTATTTTTACCGCCCATACAGTTATTGGACTGCTCAATTATTTTTAGAAATGACATTGTATGACAAAATAACCGACTAATTGATTTTTATTGCTGTCCATATTTTACTGTCGCAATAATTAATCAACAACCGCCATTACATTAAATACTGCTCAATATGTTTTTCAACTGATCATAATAACATCTCGAATATTAAAATAACAGCTCAAAAAAATTAGTTCCCAATTTAAATTTCGCTGACAATGCGGAGTCAACTACACAGCGGCTGGCTGGCGGGCGGTTGTCGACCACCTGACGTTGATTGGTTGGTGTGACACAGGGTGGTGCTGGGTGGCTCTAATGAAAACCTTTATTCTCCTGCAGCATTCTCTAAGATGTAGGTTATCTTCCCAAATGGACAGTACAGTTATTTTATCATAACTTTTTTTTTCGTTTTCCTCAGCTTTGAAAGACTTCAAACCCAGAACAATAGACATGAGCTACAACTCCTTCGAGAACATTACAGTTATGGCAGAGCTTCCTATAGAGGTCTTAAACCTATCCAGATGCGGCATACAGTCTATAGAGTCTCATGCCTTCCTATCCCTGCAGAACTTGAAGGTTTTAGACTTAAGCCACAATAAATTGACTTCGTCATATGGTCCGCAAGTTGATGGAGTGAGTACATTATTTATCATCATCCCATTAATATCCCCGCTGTTGGGGCACAGGCCTTCCTTGTGGATAGAATAAGGAGATAAGGCTATTTATTTGTTTTTTTCGACGACCAACAACTATGAATAAATAATAATAACAAAAAGCCAATTACATTTCTTACTACCAATAAAAACACATAACAACATAATTAAGCAAACTTTAAACATAATAATTACAAAAAAAAAATTGTGTGTCAGCTCCGACGCACGACTGGAGTTTACTCCTTAAGTTCGATAGTCTAACAAGACGCAAAAAGAGTTTATTTAACTTAAAAAAGATTAATACTGTATGAAAGGGTAAATTAACAAATTCATGAAAATAATATACATATATAAATATATATTTATTCATTTCATATACATTTATTATAACTAATCGACGAAATATTTTACATTAAACTTTTTTTTATCAATTTCAGATGTGCATAAATATAGAGTCTAAAGTTAAGTCTAAAGTCTGTCTAAAGTTTGAGGTTGCATGTGGAACGCATATAAGGGGATTAAATGTAAATGGTTTTGATGTAGCCCTAAGAGAAATCCTTGACAGTAATGCTGGGCAGTCGATAGCACCAGAAGCTACGAAGCTACTATGACTAACTAAGTAGGAGCAGTATGGATTGGTGGGTGCTAATGACTGTAGATGCATCCGGGACCAACGATCTGACGTGCCTTCCGAAGCACTGAAGAGTTTAAGGTAGCAAAATTAACTCTCTTCTTCTCCGATTGCCTGCAATGCCGATGCGTGTTACTCTGACCTTCGTGTTCTTCACCTTAATAAACTTGAGCTAGCCAGAACTTATGTAGGTATTCGATTCATTTTTAGTCTGCGTAAGTACGCCCATATCTCTTACTAATGTTCCCAACTTCATAGACAACCCATTTTTTGTAGAAGGGACTGTCGTATCTGTCACTCTTTTCAATCCTCTTTCACCCACACACTCCTCTTTATCTTAAGGACTATACTCTCTTCTTTTCCAATTGCCTGCAATGCCGATGCGTGTTACTCTGACTTTAGTGTTCTTCACCTTAATAAACTTGAGCTAGCCAGAACTTATGTAGGTATTCGATTCATGTTCGGTCTGCGTTAGTACGCCCATATCTCTTACTAATGTTCCCAACTTCATAGACAATCCATTTTTTGTAGAAGAGACTGTCGTATCTGTCACTCTTTTCAATCCTCTTTCACCCACGCACTCCTCTATATCTTAAGGAGCGTTTCGTTTTTCGGTCTTTTAATCCTGTACAAGATTTCGGTCTTCCCATAACCTGTCCTTATTTATTGCAATAGTTGCTTTCCACATTGACTTTTCCTTGATGTAACTGGCTTAAAACTTGATGGATGTCCTATCAAATCAATTATACTTAACGGCCGCGAGACGTCAATTTAATTTATGATTCCATCTATATAAGGAAGGTCTATGTCACAGCAGTGGACGGTAAGTTTATGGTAATCCTCATTTAGCGAATACACAACCTTATAATAATTAACTGCGTGCGAAATTTTGGTGCAATTCTCTCAGTGGTTTCACCCAGTCAGTAATGGTAGGTTTTTATGCTAAACAGCTTTATTCCTCTGTTTCAGTATACACGTCCGAGGTACAAGCCTTTGATGTCTATAGAAGTCCTGAATCTCGCCTACAACGACCTGCACTCTTTTAATTTGGACCTCTTCAATCAGATAACGCACCCGACAGAGTTGGATTTGAGCGGCAATCCTATGAGCAACACCAATGATGATGATGATAAATTTGTAGAAGAGCGATGGGCGAGAGGGACGAAGGTTTTCTTTTGTTTTTGTGTGTTTTCCAACAGTATAGTGCGATACTTCATGTTTGAGATTGTGTTAGGAATAAGTATAATAATGGACTTTTTGGCGGGATCGGAAAGCGTCACTTTAGCAGTTTTGTTTTTCTTGTTAAAAATTGTGTTGTGGCGGATGTTAGTGTCTAATAATGGTGGATTATTAACCACTAAGTGTTCGGGAACATGCACAAGTGTTGGCAAGTGAAACAAAATAGCGGAAAGTGTCTTTCGACGTTCCCTCAAGAAGTCCACGGGGAGGTTCCAGTAAAACTCCATACATTAACTGAAACATAGGGAAAGGGGGATTGACTTGACTGCCACTTACTTTGACTTGATATAATACTTTGACCACGAGTGCTATAGAATTTGTAAACATTTTTAACACTTGACATTGGCTAAATGCACAAACCGTGCGAAGCCATTTAGGATTTTTTTTTATTATCTGCAACTGAACTTTAAATCAACAAATTGGTATGTGTTCTTCCAGATTCTGCATTTGCGGTCGTGCCACCTGGAAGCGATAAATAGCCTTTTCCTGTTCTCTTTCGGAAGCGTAACACGTCTGGACCTGAGCGACAACCTCCTGACCGTAGTGCCCGACGGGTTGGGCGAGCTGAGGGGCCTTCTCTACTTGAACCTCAACCAGAATCCCATCAGAGCACTGGTCAGAGACCCTATGAGACCGTGAGTCCTCTACATGAATAATAGGCTAGTTGACACTTTTTGGAAATATATTTTAAATGGTTAATCATTGTTCAATTAGACCGAAAAAAATGTCATTTTTTTTTTACCTAGAAAGCTACAAAACTTTAATTTTAAAAGAGATTTTTCATGGACATACAAAAACGCTATGTATGACGGGAACAACAGTAAACAAACACTCGCAAGCACGTAGGATATAACCTATCTGAATTTACATTACAAAACCATGATTTCTAATAGATTTCATGATAAATATAGCAATTATCAAGATTGTATTATACGAGAATGAAGAAACACATCGTTAAAAACTCCAGAAATGTTGTGGTTTCAATTTTTAAGGTTATTAATGTACCTGCTAAGTCAAAGAGTTTTGGTTGTTTCTGCTTACACAAATCCGGCGTCCAGCATTAATTTAGTCAAGTAAACCAATAAACGGAAACTTTTCTTCAAGATATAAGAGTTTTTAGATATATTTTAGTCGGACGAAAGAAACCACAGTAACACGACGATGACGTTTAGTTGTTTTGTTATTATGTTGACGTCACAATCATAGTGGACAGCGTTTTTAGTGTTTAAAAAGCATAGATTAAAAAACTATTTTTCAAATTAAATTACTACAGCCATCTTCTAATTTTATGAAGTGGAATCGATGTATTTAGGTTCCTCATACCAAAAATTATAGGAAATAAACATTTGTATAGTGCAATTTGACATGAGTCAACTAGCCTATTGTTTACATTATTACCTTATTACTATTACCTTAGTATCCTATAACATCAGCCTTAATATACAATGCTTACTTTGGGGCTATACTAATTGGCTTATTATTATTTCATTCTAATAATGGTGCACCAAATAAAACTATTTTTTTTATATTTCTGATGATGGTGCACCAAATCGCAGTAATTTTTTATATTTTTGTTTTTAACCAGGGGCTACCCCTATCTTACGAAGTTAAAGGAATTGCATATGTGCAACATGCCAAACTTGACCGAGATTGGTGACGGAGCGATGGCAAGCCTGAGGAGCCTGGAGAAGCTGCATTTGAGTTTCAACCCTCAGTTGAGGCGCATAAGTCGTACAGCTCTTGTGCGCCACACAGGGCAGGATCATGAGAGTCCTATGGTGAAAGAAGTGAGTTTGAAACTTTTCTCTTACACTAGCTTGTAACATATTTTTAAGTTGATAATGGTGTCGATTCTAGCGTGATTCTCTAAACTTAAAACTAAATTTACCATCTGTCTCTCCTATTCATTCCGTATAGAGAATGACAAGGATACACTCTTGTCAAATTTAAGTTTAGATTTAGAGAATCATGCCAGAATCGACACCAATGTTACTCACCGACTTACAAAATCGGAGAATAAAAGACTTTATTATTTCAGGGTGTAGTTTATGCTGTGTAATGATTGAAACAACATTATTTTACGTTATTCTTCGTAGTAGTGGCGTTAACATTCAATTTCCAACGTTATTAAACTAAATACATACTCTTTTTACCTTATAGTACGACGTTGGCAAACTAAGTTTACTTTTCTTGATGAAATACGTTGAACTGGATAGCTGATAAAACAGTTGCGATCAAAACATGGCGCTTAACACAAATAATTATGCTACAAACTGTGGCTTTGCACGAGTGAACTTTATTTTAACAGGATAAGAAGTAGCCTTTAGCATTCTAATGCTAAAAGAATTTTAAAAATCGATTCAGTCGCTTTTGAGTTTATTTATCACAAACGTACAAAAATATATATCTTTCCTCGTTATAATCTATCTATATAAATAAAACTCAAAGGTGACTGACTGTCTGACAAAGTGATCTATCAACAAACAGCCCAAACCACTGGACGGATCGGGCTGAAATTTGGCATGCAGGTAGATGTTGTAACGTAGACATCTGCTATGAAAGGATTTTGATCAATTCTACCCCCAAGGGGATAAAATAGGGAATGAAAGTTTGTATGAAACTTTGTCAATTTTAAACCGATCGGGCTGAGACTTTGCATGCAGGTGTAAGAAGAATCATAGATCAATGTCATTGTGTATAATACAAGCCTGAGAACAAAAACTGTAGTCTACACTTCAGCTCTACACACCGAAGCAAAGCGAGGGCGGGCCGCTAGTGTTGAGTAAAAATTAGTGGCCAAAAAAGAGTGTTAATTTTTTTAGATCATGAATGTGCGTTTGTTTCTCTGCCATAATTTCTTTATACCTAAACAGATTTGGACTTGTTGAAATGGCGCTCCTATTAGATCATAAAAAAACGAGCGAACCTTACAGTAGTCGCGTATGATGTGTAACATTTGAAACCTCACCTTATATTAGTAAAAAAATAAATAATACCTACTACAAAAGGAATAAGCCATTCGAACATTATGTTCTAAAATCAAATCAAATAGCGCGCGCTTTCACGACTTCCTGTTACACACTTCCGTTCCATTTCACGAAATCACTCCTGCAAATTTCAGGAAAGCAAGAGGAAAGATGTTACATATCAAAAAAATACTATTTTTTTCACATATTATGTTATACATGAAGCTTCTACATAACAAAGAAGTGCACGCAAAACAAACATTCATATTAAGCTTCAAAAGCTTGAGACTTTCGTGGCACTAAAAACAAGGGGGTTAATATAAAAAACAGAGTCTATGCGGAAAGAGAATGGGACTTAGATTGGAGGGCGCTGTAGTGCTTTTCTACCGTATTTGTAAGGTTTTACCGCAAGAAATCACAACAAAAAGCAAATCCGTATCAATACAAAACTTTGACGTTTTACAGATTGCTGGGTTTGATTGCCAAATAAAAATCTTAATGTTAGTTCCGTTTTTCGCCACGCCCATTCTCTTTCCGTACAGATTCTATCTCGCATTCATCACAAAAACAATTTTCCCGCCACTTATAAACTGGATTAAATACCATCCCACCACAGAGAACAACAAAGAATTACTCTACAGGGTAGTAAACTTTTTAAAGTCGATTTGTTGCAGTCAAATATTACGAATATTGACGAGTTCGATGGCGCGGCTGGTTAGCGCATACGGCTGCGATCGTTGAAGTTAAGCAAGTTTCGCAGTGGTCGGTCATTGGATGGGTGACCAAAAATTTATTATCTCGAGCTCCTCCGTGCTTCGGAAGGCACGTTAAGCCGTTGGTCCCAGCTGCGTCTGCAGTCGTTAGCACCCACCAATCGGCAATGGGTCCGCGTGGTGGATCATGGCCCAATCTCCCTATTCCATTCATAGGGAAGGCCTGTGCACCAGCAGTGGGGACATTAATAGGCTGATGATGATGATGATGATTATGAAATATTACGGAAATTATGAGTTGGGTAATTTTTATTCTAAGGATGCGAAGTCTTCACCTGATATTCGTGAAATCAGCACCACTGAGATCGTCAAGAATTCATAATGATGATTCATTAAAGATGTTTTCGTTTCAATTCCAGCTGTATATGAAGTCTAACGCTCTCTCCGAGTTGGATCCAAAACTGCTGTCCCGCTGGGACCTGCTTAGCGCCATAGATGTGTCCGGCAACCCGTTCAGATGCGACTGTGAAACCCAGTGGATGGTGAACAATCTGGTGCCTATCGTCGATAAGATCAATCCGAACGCGTCGATAGATATGGTGTAAGTGAACAATATTAGTAAACAGTGGTGTCGATTCTGGCATGATTATCTAAAACTAAATTTAAAGACAACAGTTTATCCTTGTTGTCATGAATCCACGGAGAGCATGATAAAACTTTTTTATTGATTATATGCTCTTTTTAGTGATTCGGTTTTTATTTTTTTGATAGCTGTCTACAGTAAGAAGAAAATAATGTTTTTTGTTTCATATTTAATTTGGCTTTTTGTGATCTTTAATATAATTCTTTTATCCCAAAGGACAATTTCATTTTATTAGTGTCTTCGGCGTAATCGGCCAAAAGAACCGGGAAGAAGCGAACAAATTCTTCACACTTGTCATACTTAGACTGATGTAAAATCCAGTTTTAAGTTTAGAGAATTAAGCCAGAATCGACACCAATACCGCCGTCCTCAAGCTAAAATGCGGTTAAATGACACAACCAACTTTTAAGATATGACCAAAAAAACAGCGCGTAAACTTAAAATTATTGCTATTTTGTAACCATTCATCACATGACAGATTTTTAGACTTTATCCATAAAAGATACTAATACTTGTTAAAGAAAGATCGATAGAGAATTAAAAAACTATCAGATGCAATGTAAGCCGCACTTTAGTTTGAGGACGGCAGATTAATAGTTTATTCAAATTGAATGTATTAGAAAACTGTTTTAAATCTGCAATTCTTTTTTCCGACCATAAGTTCAGAACTTTTTGGAACAGTCAGCAGAAGAAACTCCACAACATTGATAAACGCAAGTTATTAAGAAAGTAAATTTCCAGTTAGTCCCGGTTTTAGACGGGATTTGAACCAGCATCTTCCGATATTCTACCCAGTGCCGTCTTTGACCTATTGGAGGCCCCGGGCATATTAGGATAATGGGGCCTCTATGACTTCCATTTGATGATCTAACAGGAACTAGGGACTCTGTATTTGATCTGAGGGGGCCTCCTATCGATCGCGGGGCCCTGGGCACAAAGTGCCCACTGGAAAAGACGGGTCTGATTCTACCAAGGCCTTAACGGCAATGTCGAATTTTCTCTTTAATGACGATAAATTGTTCCAGATGTTCAGAGCCCGAGGAGATGAGAGGTATCACTATGAGGCACCTGTATGAGAACAATCGCATCAAGCGCTGCGGAGAGGAACAGAGGCCAGAACGACACGTTTTCGTGCCAGGAGGCGCTATGCTGACGTCCATATCTGAACTCCTATTGGTGAGGGTGAAATAAGTTCACACAGCGCTGGTGTATTCTCGAGTGTTCAGCACAACGATATTAAATACCCTAGATACACCAACACGAACAAAATAGTGCCCGAAACCTGTCCAAAAGGTACATTGAACGATCCACGGAGCTCCGTAAGATGATCGCGCAGTCAAAATCAATATATGGCATTACTTAAATATTGAAAGTAACCTTTAATACATACTGAATAAGGACTTAAATAAAACGCATGCTTCAAGGACTTCTGACAGTTCGAAATGCAAGCTCGTAAAATTTTACGACTTATTTCTATATGCGGAAGAATTTAGACCTTAGTTCTTTGACTCAACGCGCAATTCTGAACACGCTGTTAGCAATATAGCAGGCGCGGACCGCGAGGAAAAGAAACGGCTATATGGCGACGTATAACCGACTATGCATTTGAATATCACAAATATTTTATATTAAATCAGTTTATAGTAAGTATTAGATCAAAATTAGCTTCAAATGCGTTAAATTAACAAACATTGATAATTGACAAGATACCTGTCGAATTAACGACACTTTTTGTACTCTAAGTATTATTTTCGCATTTTTTCGCAGAGCTCTGGTGGCATCTTGACTTTGTAACGGTCCGCGCGTGACTGTGAACCAAGTAGTCCTTGAGTGGAGTTCAAGCACTTCTTGATCGGGACACATTTTGAGCGCTCGTGGTGTATCTAGGGTATTTAATATCGTTGGATAAGCACCGCAGTCAGGAGTTGCTATAAGACCTAAAGACGCGGTAGGCTCGCGACGCGGTGCTAGTATTGCTTAGGCAGCGAACTGTATTATTACTACTGAAGCATTTGAGCCTCCGTCAATAGTAAGAACTCTGGCGGTGGATGTCAAAAATTCTTTAACGGTTGCCCGCAACTAACATAATCACCTCACACTCTTATGCTCGTATTATAGAAAGATCCTCAGTGATTGACCTAGGGCCCAATTCTCGCGGCATAGATATTATATCACCTTCGATATATATCGAATGATCTGGCTTTTATCGAAGGAAAACCTTTTTGCCCTATTCTCGCCATGTCGCAATAGATATTTATCTATGGATGATCAGTAGACATACATCGACTGGTAAAGAGCCTTCGATATATAAATATCTATGGATCTTGGCATGTCAATCTTGTTATTTCCATTTTTTTTACCTATTATTTATTGTGTTGTCGTATGTCTTTGCCAATTATTGTTACCTCAAGATGTGTTTAACTGCCTTCATAAATAATTAGTAAATAAAGAAGTAGGTAAACAATGGTGTCGAACCTGGCGTGATTCTCTAAACTTAAAACTAAATTTAACATCAGTCTCTCTTTTCCATTCTGTATAGAGAATGACAAGGAAACACTGTTGTCAAGTTTAAGTTTAGATTTAGAGAATCGTGCCAGAATCGACACCAGTTTATATTAACGATGGATGAGTTGATTCATGTTTTCGTCAATGATTAATGCTGCTGTGCTAAAGCGCCGCCGTTGTGAGAGCAAGAGGGCCCATTTGAAATGAGGGACGCCGACTTCATAAAAAAATTACGTTTAAACAAAAATTTCGTTAGAAATCTTTAAAGTTATGAATGACATTGGTATCGATTCTGACACAGTTCTCTAAACTTAAAACTAAATTTAACATCAGTCTCTCCTTTTCTGTATGGAGTATGACAAGGATACACTGTTGTCAAATTTACGTTTAGGTTTAGAGAATCATGCCAGAATCGACACCATTTTCTTATTGACGATACGTAGTTTTGGCGGGATTTCTGCGAGTGTGGTTGGCATCTTATTTTAATTATTCTAAAATTCGTTCATAGTGGATATTGTGAAATAAAATTGGTGTGATTTGGTGTTACAACCGTCTGCGCAACTGAAGAATTAGTGGAATCTTTAAAATATACGCTATTCCGGTAAAGTGGATGCGAGAACTTTATTGTAGTATTGACTACCTCACAGAAGCCTAGAGAAAAAGCCAACTCCATAAATTTCGTGCCAAACACTCCAAGAAACATTAGAATGCGTCACACCGACATTCGAATGTAAAAAAAAGAAGATTAATATAACTAAAGACTAGACTTTATGGGCATTGTTCCCTTTGCCTTCCCTGAAAAGGGAGAATCTTAAATAATATTGACGTTTCATTATACATAACATAACGTTGAAGTTATATACGCATACAATTTAGGTAAAGTTGAGATTTATTATACTCAAAAAATGTATACTCATATTTAATATGAATGGAATTCATAGAATATCATTTTGTTGCTTGTAAAATTCTGCTCTTATTTATTATTATTTTATATAGACTATGATGTTAACTTAATCGAGAAAAACGGAACGCCTTCGGCAGTGAAAGAATATCTACGATAGATACAATATCATTGGAATATCGAAAATCCACGAGAATAGCATTTTTTACCATCAGTAGATATTTTCAATAGATATCCCTACTTTCGATATTATCTCGAAGCCGATATAATATCTACGCCTATCCTAGAAAGAGATGTCGCTATAATATATAGCACATAGCGATATCCCTTTCTAACTGTACTCAAGTACAGATCAACACTTAGTTGTCATTCTGTAATACGGGCCTTAGAATGTAAATGGCCTAACTCAAAATACACTTTGCTTATAATTTATGTTAAAAAAAATCTACAACCTTGTGTTTTATTATACTTTGTTCACTTTCATTCTAAGGGACATAATATCATAATAGGGACCTTATTAAATTAAAATTGAGGAGCTTGATAGCGCGTTCGGCTGCGATCGTTGAGGTTATGCAACTTTCGCAATGGTCGGTCATTGGATGGGTGACCAAAAATCTTCTATCTCGAGTTCCTCCGTGTTTCGGAAGACATGTTAAGCCGTTGGTCCAGGCTGCGTCTGCTGTCGTTAGCACAGTATGCGCTACTGTGTATGTAGGTAAAATTTGTTAATTATGAAAATATATTACATATTTCAGGTGTGCTGCTTGCTGTTTCCATTGTGGTGGCTGTAATCTTATTTTGGAAAATGGATGATGTTAAAATGGAGGATGTTTTGCTTTCCTTGGATTCAAAAGATATACAACTACTACATTGACAGAGTAATCAATTTCGGATTTTTTTAGAATCTTTCTTCCCATTTCTCTGATTACCTCTCCACAAAAAGTTTTTTAAAGAAAAAATAAATACAAATAATTTGTAATCGTCGGCCTGACAGGAAATCTGCGAAATTTTATTTTGTCCATTTGCAAAAATTAAAGGATTAATTAACAAACAGCCTTGTCTCAAGTCTGATCCGAATAATAAAATCTATTATTTTAGGCCTTCAGTGATTTGTTATAATAAAAATTAGGTCCAAATATGTCATAGTTTCAAGGAGTTTAGAAATAATATTGTGTGATTCGATATACTAACGCAAATATTTTTTGTGTACATTTATTGTTCATTTATTTTGTAAAACGGAACATTTTGCAGACATGAAGTCAATTTTTATATTTTTAAATATTTGATTATTTCACGAAAGTTGTATGGGAATAAAAAACATGTAATTCGCGTGGATTTTTTTCTAGTAAACTTTTCTTTAGATTTAAACATGTAATAATTAATAAAAAAATATTATAAAGTTACGGGCTAGTGCGAAATGTTTATACATGTTAAGGGCAGTTTCTTATCATGTCCTTTAGGATAGGAAAGTTGAGTCTAGGAGAGAGAATGGGTAAATGTAAGAGAGGAAAGCGGAAAACAGGATAGATAGTGATTAAAGATTTACTTACATGAGTGGCTTAAGACGTGATTTTTTTTACAAAATTGATTTGTATTTTATTTCTTTGTAACGTGGTTTTTTTTCTATGATTTTATAAACTGCGTCACTCAAAACTTGATGGCTAAATTTTATTGACTTATTTGACTACAGTGTCCGATGATTGAATTATTTTTAAGTACCTACGTAAAGTCTCATTATACCATCACAATTTTGATCATTATTTTGATAATTTATACAGGTTATAAAAAGTAAAGTCCCATCAAAGCTGTCAATTTGTCCATGATACTGTTTTAACAGCGTTAACCGTTCACAACATAAGTTTAAAGATTGTATAAATCGAAAAATAAATTAAATAAGCACCTGTTTTGTTAGCATTTAAATTATAAGCATTTAATATGGAATAGCACAATAATTATATCCTTAAGATTGTGGGCGAGCGATGTTATTTATATTTTATTAAAGGTTTACGACTAAGAAGACTTAAAATATTGTTTAAATATTACTAGAGATGTACTTAAAAGTCTTATCTATTTATTTTCCTGGAAACTTTTATTAAAGTGTTTATTTTTAACTTGATTTTACTTTCACCTGTCCCATTGTATCTGTAATGAAATCTTGATATTTAAAGACACACTTGCCTGTGATGACATACGGAGTCAAGCGTGGACACTAACGGTACGGCTGGTCCACAGGTTCAAAGTCGCTCAGCGCGCTATGGAAAGGGCTATGCTCTGAAGGATCGCATCAGAAATGAGGTAATCCGACAGAGAACCAGAGTTATCGACATAGCCCACCGGATTAGCAAGTTGAAGTGGCAGTGGGCTGGCCATATTTGTCGAAGAACCGATAACCGTTCGGGTAGACGAGTTCTGGAATGGAGACCGCGTCTAGGCAAACGTAGTGTAGGATGTCCTCAGGCGCGATGGAGTGACGATTTGCGCAAGGTGGCTGGCAAGAGCTGGATGCGAGTAGCCCAAGATCGATCTGAGTAGCGTGCATTTGGAGAGACCTATGTCCAGCAGTGGACTAAGGCTGTTGATGATGATGATGATGACACTTGCTGGTTTTTTAATGTTAAAAGGGTGGCAAAAAGCATATGGCTCGCCTGATCGTAAGCAGCCACCATAGTCTATAGACGCTTGCGACACCAATACTATCACTAGCATCGTTACCCTGGAACCTTACTCGCAGGCAGAAATACAACAACACCAAAAGGTAGTGTAAGGAGGAGCTCGATGGCGCAAGTGGCTAGCGCGTTCGGCTGCCATCGTTGAAGTTACACTTTCAGTGATATCAATGGAGAAATTTATTCGTTCTTTATAAATTCTCCGACACATCTTCTCAAGCTTTTGCAGAGCCATTTTGTAAATAACTACGAATACACTATAATTGAAACGCAAAACTTACACAGCCCCGATTGCATGTAAATAATGACTTCCAATTTGCCAATTATGTCGACTAAAAAACAATTACCCTTGTTTCACAACACAATTCTCGTTGAAGTAAGTAATTCTGAAAAATGACAATTGTAAAAAAATACGTGAAATTTTCATGACATATGTCGGTGACAAATGTTGATTTGGTGAAATAGGGCGCAGGGTTGTCATGTCAACGCATCGTCCAAAGCCAGGTACTCATTAGCGATAAGGAGGACGGGTAGGAGAGGACGGTGGCGCGCCCTAGCTGCGCCCGTCCTATGACCCTACCCGGGGGGTCCCTCGCTGACCGGCATGGCGACAGCTGTGCCGGCCACTGACGGACCCAGTGACGGCAGCCCCCCTTGTAGTTCTGTCCTGCAAAGAGGGGGTGGCGAAGGGAGCTACATGAGCACGCCCAAGTAGCCCTCCGCAGCGGACGGGGCGCGGTACGGTGGGCAATAGGCCGCGTACTCAGCCCCCACGCGCGGGCCATCCTGCGCATGTCTGTGGGGTCCCCGCGATATCTCGGGAGACCCCTGCCGTGGAGCCCCGGCAAGGCCGGGAGGCTGCTAGGTGCGGAGACGCAGAAGAATCCCTAAACGGGGATCCCGTGGCTTCGCGCTATGCAGCTTAGAGGGTATTTGCAGGGTTTTGAGCAGATATTATGCCGTAAAGCGCCCGTAACGGTTACGGGGTCCTCAGTGTGCAGCCACTGCTGTGGCTCGTAAGGCTTGCGGGAGCCAGGTGTGAGGTCTGTCGGTGTGCCTCTTAAAGGCGCCGTCGTCGTCTGTAAATAGTATTTTTTGCCTGCGTATAAAAAAAAGGTACTCATTAAGTTCTAGTGTGGGGCCGTTCAAGTATTACGTAAGCAGATTTATTACAATTATTTACCCCCTCCTCCCCCTTGACAGCAAAGCTCTTACTCCCCCCCTCACGTGCTTACGTAAACATTGGTACCTATGCATTTTTCCTTTAATGTGTTCTGTTTTTTTTATTCATTCATGAGCTTCATGAGCAGCAGTACTTAAATAGGCTTAGGAAAGAGGACTTTAACGCACATAATATTCATTGAAAGAAACTTTTTTGACACAGTATTCAACATAGAGTAAGGTTCTATTACGAACAAAACCAACTTCTTTCGAATTTTCAATCAAATACAATCTTCATTCCATGACACCCGAATCCATGATGCTGACATAATCACTATCTCTCCCCCCCCCCCCATGTCATCAAAAATAAGCAACGCAAAGACCCCCCTATAGTGCTTACGTAATACTTGAACGGTCCCTGTGAACGCTTGTGGCTCAGTTGTAAACGTCGGCTCGCTGCAATCCGCACGCATACCGCGCGCAGCAGGTTAGCGAACCACGTACACACTATGTTACTGTTACAGCTTGCTAATGAGTACCCGGTTTAACATTACCGCACCGTTGTATGTTGACGACGTCCGTCGTTGAAATTTTTACGTGCTGTCATATACCTATCGTTGACTGGCATGCTCATGCATGATGCATGACCATTTAATACAATGCATAAAAAATTCAAAGATCAAACCACTTTTCGTGCGTATTGTTTGGCTGTTATAATATGTAATATCCAATTATATCTCTGTCAACTATAAATATCATCTTAATAATGTTTAATCAATCATTATCAATCAATCATAATCAAAATCATTTATTAAGTTTAGGCTGTTACAAACACATATGAATGTCTAGAAGCTACGCCATCGTTTCGTAAATATACGGCGGGAGACCTTGTACTGAGAAGAACCGGCAAGAAACTCAGCAAGGGCTGTTTTTTCTCCCTGTTTTAACATTTACACACACCTTTCATTACTTAATGTGAAATTATACATTAATTGTTCACATGAATTTTGATTGCTGTGTCACAATATAAATACAAATAGAGTTATTTATAATAGATGTAATTAAAAATTTACATCTTAAATATCAAAGTAGTTAGGGCGGACTCATCTCCGGCAGCACCCGTTCACGTGCATGACGCATGAACCTGCCATCGCTTCGATCAACCATAATTTAGGGAACGTAACGACCCGCCCGATAATAATCGCACACATAACCAATGGCTCAGTGGTGCGGCTCGAAGGACCATGTACAGATCCCACAAAAAATGAAAAGTTTGCCGCGTTTTTTCCTTGAATAGTAGATGATATAAAAACAAAACTGTGTCCAAGGCGAAACAAGAAGAATTCGTTCGTTGGCGAAATTTCGTTTCGGAGATAGAGAGTAAAGTATATCTCCTGATCCTCTAGCTCGTAGTTAATATTAATTGATATAAATTATGACATGCAGACTAGTCATGCAGCGTAATATTGAACGAAAACGCATCTCATAACATGTTAAGGGATGAAAAGTAGATGTTTTCCGATTCTCAAAGAGAGGTCTTGCGGCAGCCATTTTTAATGAAAGGTCAGGAAAATGAAATGACACCTATGAACCGTATGCGTTTATCATGACTGGAGCAACAAGTTCATTAAAACTGGAACAATGTAATAATATTTTGCCAAGATTAAACAGCAATGACTTAGTTATTTTAGGGTGTGGTAGCAATGATATGGATATATATGGGTATCACTCAAACATATGTATAGCTGTTAATATGTTATGCTCTAGAGCTTCAGTTTTGATCGCACCAGTAAGTAATACATAATAGATATTTAAATGAAAATTTTATGTACTATAATTTAAGGTTATGGACCAAACACTTTAAGAATTGTAATGCAATAGATATAAATGATTTTATACAGAATAATAGAAACGACTACATTCATTTCTTAAGTTTTAAGATTAATCTATCTTTATCTATAAGAAGTTCTTTCTGTAGGCCAATTAAAAAAAATGTATTAGGAATAACCGTGGTGAAATATGTCACACAAACAAAAACAAAGATCTTCCTAAAAAAAGGTCTTTATAATATTACTTTAAAACACCAAAACAAGTTTCGGGGAACCATTTTGATAAACCGTTGCATAACCCTACATTTTCAGCACAAAAAGAAAATTTACAAGTAGTAACAAAATATACAAGGTCTGGGGTCAAAGAAATCCGTTTTAGAAATGACTTTGACGGAAATCAACAGGAATATAAAGCCAGACATATTGTGCTTTACAGAAACCTTTATTAAAAGTAACGAAGAAAAAAAAAATAACTTTAATAGATTTGAACTGGCAACAAACTACTCAAGGCTGAACAAAAGAGGCGGGTCGTGTATATTGGTTAAAAAGGGGATCGAATATAAAAAAATAACATGTTTCGATGACCTTAGTATTAATTTTCACTTTGAATGTTGTGCAGTAAATCTAGTTTCTAATAATATCATCGCTATTTGCATTTATATAATACCGTCAAAATTACAGGGACATAAGAAGAAATAGCAATTATAGTTATAATTTTTATTTTTTAAGCATGTAACTGCTTGATGTTTAAATCTAAAGAAAATATATCTAGAAAAAAATCCACGCGGACCAGGCAGCAGACGGGACTCGAACCCGCACCCTTCGCAATCCGGGCGAATGCACTGACCAATTATGTTACCGCGGCCCTGACGCGTCGAAATTCTTCTAGCCATTCTTAAGCTGCAAGGCAGCGCCATTTCTTCGCATTGTAGGTAACCCACAATGCCAAATGAATACTTTTACAAGTATTAAACATTTGAAAGAAGAAATAGCTAAGTAGTTTTTAAAATGTCTTTGGGAGAAGACACTGATTTCTGTAACACAGGGTTATTATCCTAGCATAGAAATTAGGGTATTAAATCTTTATTGTACCTACTTTTGTTGAGCAATAATTTCCTTTATTCATTATATAACATATTAATTACATTTTTAAATATTAATATAAAATAAAACTAGTTTTTACGGGTTAATGCACGAAACTTTATTTATTTATTGACGTTTCGTAGCGTCATTAATATAAAAATTAAAACATTTAAAAATATAACAGCCGGTATCGGGAACAGGGTCCTAGCTACCGGTGGTTAGGGCCCCAGAGAAAGGAACCTCCTCACTTTGAGCCATTAGTATTGTTATTTATTAACACTACCTATCCTATTTTTCACTTTCCTCTCTTACATTTACACATCTCTCTCCTACTTTGACTTTCCTATCCTAAATTTACACGAAGTTGCCATTAATTGGTGCTCTCTTGTAGAACGCTTTGGATACTTCCGTCGGTCCCTTGAATTTAATGAAAGCGAAATATCCACGTTTTCACAACAAGATTACGCCCATCATAATGGGAACAGTCTCAGATCACAGAACAAAAGGCAGAAAGGCAGAACACGCAAATGCGGCCACTAAAGCAAATATGAAGTCAAAAGTGAAGATAGTTTTTGCCTTTGTAAACAGTTTTGGAAATGTTTGAACATAGCGGCACAGTTTTGATAAAAACTTAATATTCACGGGACGTATTCACATCACGATGCGTTGTAGTGTACTGACACGAGTTGATATTAACTTTTGACTTGATATTTGCTTTGGTGGCATGCAATCTGTGAGCTCCATCTGTAAATTAAACTTAAAAATGTAATTTCAAATTTCAAATTAATTTTAATTGAAATTCCTGTTAAATAAGTTTAGCATGTGTAATTTTACAATAATTTCGGTTTCACCACTAAGATTTAAAATGTGAGTAAGAATAAAGATCAAAATGGCTAGTTGGGAAATTGCCTGTTTTTTGATACAAATAAAAAGTACAAACTACTGAAAAATTACTATTTATTACAGTAAATTTCCAAAACTCCTTCCTCCAACCTGAATTCACAATTGACAACGTTTTAAAAAGTTATATTTTAACTGTCTGAAGCTAATTGAATATTCTTGCTTTACTTTTCATTCCGGTTCTGTAAATTTTTGTCTCAATTCTTGTTCGTATTTTAAATCTTAGTGGTGAAACCGAAATTATTGTAAAATTACACATGCTAAACTTATTTAACAGGAATTTCAATTAAAATTTATTTGCAATTACATTTTTAAGTTTAATTTACCATAACAATAATAAAAAGTAGATAAAATTATTTTTAATGCTTTAATCATTAGATTTTTAACCTATCCGCCTTCGAAGGCCAAATACAACAAAAATAGGCTCATTAAGTACTATGTTTTTTAATGATTTTTGGTAGTTTAGAAGCATGCAGAGTTTTTAATTTTAGCCAGAATCTATGGAAACTCCTTTTTGTATTTTTAAATTGAAGATGTATGTTTGAGTAAATCCTACTAAAAATTAAAGTTTCAACTTTCAAGCCTTTTTTGAGTAACGTAATTTCAGGAAGCTGAGTTATTTTATTATAACAACGTTCAAGACAATTATGTCACAAAAAAAACACTGCAAAATACTTACTACGAATAAAAATATGATTTTTTGAAACCTCGCTGGCAGAAATCATTAATAATACACAAAACAAATATAACTCGATAACTAAGAAAAAAAAGCGCGGAACATACATGGTGTATTTTCGGATAACCCCAGGTGCGAGGAATCTAAAAAAAAAGTTGAGGTCACTAATTAGACCACCCTGTATATTAAGATGTTTCATAATCATTTACAATACTTATTTACTTTTACCTAATTATTTAATATATGTATAATTGTCGTTTATCGGGTGCAATAATTTAGTACGACAGGTAGGGCAAAGCGAATTTCTCGCTGAAATAATATAGTAATATAATATAGTATTCTACTATATTAGGGAATCAAATACTATGTTCGAGGAGCTTGATTGCGCAGGTGGTTGGCGCTTTCGGCTACGATCGTTGAAGTTAAGCAACTTACGCAGTGGTCAGTAATTGGATGGGTGACCAAAAATCTTCTATCTCAAGTTCTTCTATGCTTCGGAAGGCATGTTAAGCCGTTGGTCCCGGCTGCATCTGCAGTCGTTAGCACCCGCCAATGACGTGACGTCATGCGACTTTTCAAATCAATGTATCTCTGCAATGTTTATATTACGTGAAAAAAGAAAAAATACGTGTCCAATACTTTTTGATAATCTACCTGATAGACGAAAAAATTGTCATCATCCCTATTATCATTCTTATTATTTCCGAATTGCGTCATATTTTTCCAAGAATAAGACTTTTACCTACTCATTACATTTGGCAGTCGGATGCAAATAAGTCATGTCATGACTAATAATAAATTAAGTTAAAGTGTTATGTTATGATTCCACTGTTTCTTATAAATAAGTATTGTATATTACATTGTACTTGAAAACGCTGATATAGTATGATTAATATTTCCATTCTGATAGTACCCTAAGTCTGGTGTGATGTAAAACCATGTGAAGGCATTTATTTGTTTGTGTCATAAAAGTTAATCTGTCCTAACAAATATTACTAATGCGAAATTGAGTTTGTTTGTTAAGCTTTCACGCCTATATCATTGTACGGATTTGGATGAAATTTGGTACGCGTATAGTTTATGAGGTGCTCGATGGCGCGGGTGGTTAGCGCGTTCGGCTGCGACCGTTGAAGTTAAGCAATTTCCGCAGTGGTAGGACATTGGATTGGTGAACAAAAATCTTCTAGCTCGAGTTCTTCCATGCTTCAGAAGGCACGTTAAGCCGTTGGTCCCGGCTGCTTCTGCAGTCGTTATCACCCGCCAATCCGCACTGGGCCCGCGTGGTAGGTCAAGGGCCACTCTCCCTATTCCATCCATAAGGAAGGCCTGTACCCCAGCAGTGGGGACATTAATAAGCTGATGATGATGATGATAGTTTATAACCTGGATTGTGACATTGGATCTTTTATCCCGGAAAAATGTTAGGTTCCTGAGGGATTTTCAAAAAACTAAAGTTTACGCAGACGAAGTCGCGGGCAGTCGCCGTGTATATTAGTTATTTAAATGCAGGTAGGACACAGCGGATTTTCCACTCGGGATTGAAGCGCCCACCTGAGGAAGCAACCAACACCTTACAAAAAAGCATAGTAAAATATCACTATCTTTTTTGGTGGTGTTATGGTTCTGCTGGTTTTTTTTTGAGTGTTTATGCTTTTGGTCGCAGATGACCTTTACAGCGTCACCGGGTTTGGGCATGACGAGATCCTAAGGGGACTTCGAGCCGAGAATTGGCGAGTGCCTCTAGAGGTATTCCAGGCGGATGGCATCTCCCCATGGAGGAAGTCTAATCTCCGTCTGAAGCTTTTAGACCACTCAAACCTGAGGGAGGTCGGCTCAACTAGAGGGCGTCTCTGAGACTCGGACTTCGACTCTAATTCGGCGGGAGATACTCAAACCGCCGAACACTGCCGAATGATCACGACGGCGGCCGACGGGCGTTGTTGGCAACAATCGCTTTTGATGTGTAACATCTTTCCTCTCGCTTTCCTGCAATTTGTGGGAGTGATTTCGTGAAATGGAACGGAAGTGTGTAACAGGAAGTCGCGAAAGCGCGTGCTATTTGATTTGATTTTAGAACATATGTTCAAATGGCTTATTCCTTTCGTAGTAGGTTTTTTTTTTTACTAATATAAGGTGAGGTTTCAAATGTTACACATCATACGCGACTACTGTAAGGTTCGCTCGTTTTTTTATCATCTAATAAGAGCGCCATTTCAACAAGTCCGAATCTGTTTAGGTATAAAGAAATTATGGCAGAGAAACAAACGCACATTCATGATCTAAAAACATTAACACTCTTTTTTGGCCACTAATATATACTCAACACTAGCGGCCCGCCCTCGCTTCGCTTCGGTGTGTAGAGCTGAAGTGTAGACTACAGTTTTTGTTCTCAGGGTTGTATTATACACAATGACATTCATCTATGATTCTTCTTACACCTGCATGCAAAGTCTGAGCCCGATCGGTTTAAAATTGACAAAGTTTCATACAAACTTTCATTCTACAAACTACGTTTTTAGAGAAAACACAAATAACAAAAATTTTACTCGCTTTGTTTGCTTGCATATAGATTATAATTTATTAATATAAGCAAATCTGTAATTAACAAATTTATTAAAAGATTAAATGCATGCAATATAATCAAGATTGGGATTGTTATTTCTTGAAGTTAACACCATGTCATATACACTGTTTTAGCTCTGACTAAAAGATTAGATAGATAAAATATATTTATGTAGGTGAAGCACTGATAATGACGATAATAAAGCGATAAGATAGCAAACTGAGCCAGTCCGCCATTTTGTCTGAGTATACTGTGATAAACCAATGGACTGAGACATTGTTTGGTGCAATATAAAAGTGTTTAAAAAAGGACAACAATTTCTTGGTGGAATTCAATCTTGAAAAGGGAAAAAGGTATTTTATAACTTACAAAGTGTTTGTAAATTAAGTGGAAGTTGGAGTTGGAAGTTGGTTCATTCGCTACCTGTGTGTTTGATTTCAATTACTTATGTCACACCGCGCCTTACTGGAAAACGATAAACGTACTGTGTTCTCTACAAAGTTAATACGTTTCTAAATCAGTTTGTTTAGGAGAGGTAGGGCATAGCGGAATTTCGAATTGGAGCGCCTGTGTGGGGAAGTGACATCTACCTTAGTGTCGCCGCACACGGGCCACACGCCACAGCCACAAACGCCGCCACGAGAAGCTAGAAGCGGCTACTAAAGTGGCTGAAGCGCGCGACAGCGGCCGACTGAGGTAAAGGAGAGAGGGGTGGGGAATCGCGCGAGTGACGCGTGGCGGCGTTTTGTATCAACGCATTAAGTGGCCGGTGCGGGCCACAAGAAGCGAGCAACGACGATTTGTAGCGTGCAGCGGCCACCGGCGTACCGTGTGTGGCGAGTTCATATAAAATGTATGAAAACTACAAGAAATATGCCGGTGGCGGCGTTTTGTGGTTGTGGTCGGTGGCCCGTGTGCGGCAACACTTACCTGGGCATATTAGGATAATGAGGCGCCTATGACCCCCGTTTGGTGATCTAACAGGAACTAGGGACCTTGTATTTGATCTTTTTTTTTTAATTTATTTATCAACTATACTATAACACTATTAACTACACTTTACAATTTCGCCAAACTGATTAACAGTTTATTGGCGAAAAATGCACTCATTTTTAATCATAAATCGATTTAAATATTTCTACAAAAACAATGCCTATATTTTTATTTAATTTCGTTTGGACCTTTATTACATATACTCCTATCCTAACATACCAATGCCACAAGTAATGTTGAAAATAACTTCTTCTGTAAGTTAATAATCTGAGGTGGGCCCCTATCGATCGCGGGGCACTGGACACTTGCCCAAAGTGCCCACTGGGAAAGAGGGGTCTGCTTGCAGAAGATAACAGAAAATAACACTACCATTTCCTCGTGTTGTGTTTCTGTCGATGAGTTAGGTTCTAGAGCTCCACGATGTAAGGAATTGAGTCAGTGTACGGGTTTAGCCGCACATTAAACTCGTATTAAGTAGGTTAGCAATATGACCCGCTGCGCGACTTATTACTTTATAATTTATTAATTTCATTGTTTCGCAATATTAACATATTGAATCTATAATTAGTGTCTATCCGGTAGCCTTACCAACCGCGCGTACTCACTCTTACCTTTTCACCATACGTAAACCATTCTTTCACCATACTTTAGTTTTCCTATTTATAGACTTTGTTATAGTAGTGTAAATTATCTCAATAAACTCTCAGTAATTGTTTCCAGTGACTTTCTATTTACCAATCTCTTCTCTAAAGGTGTATAACCCGTACAGTCAGGATAAGCAACAGTTCAAGTGATATTTTTGGTTATAATTTTATTAATTTTTAAAGCATGTAACTGCTTGATGTTTAAATCTAAAGAAAATATAACTAGAAAAAATTCCACGCGGACCAGGCAGCAGACGGGACTTGAACCCGCACCCTTCGCAATCCGGGCGAATGCACTGATCAATTATGCTACCGCGGCCCTCACGGACCGCGTCGAAATTCTTCTAGCCATTCTTAAGCTGCAAGGCAGCGCCATCTCTTCGCGAAGAGAATACTTGTAAAAGTATTCATTTGACATTGTGGGTTACCTATAATGCGAAGAGATGGCGCTGCCTTGCAGCTTAAGAATGGCTAGAAGAATTTCGACGCGGTCCGTGAGGGCCGCGGTAGCATAATTGGTCAGTGCATTCGCCCGGATTGCGAAGGGTGCGGGTTCAAGTCCCGTCTGCCGCCTGGTCCGCGTGATATTTTTTGTTTCACAAGCAACGATATTTAATATCGTTGATTGCAAGCTATAGGCTTTAATGGGCTATGGTACCATCACGCGGGTTATAATTTTGCAAAAAAATACGAAAAATTATTAAAAGGCGTAACTTATTTTATAGACACATGAGGACTCGATGGCGCAAATGGATAGCGCGTTCGGCTGCGATCGTTGATGTTAAGCAACTTTCGCAGTGGTTGGTTATTGGATGGGTGACCAAAAATTTACGTAACACGTTAAGCAGTTGGTCCCGGCTGCATCTGCAGTCGTTACCCACCAACCCGCACTGGCCCGCGTGGTGGGTCATGGCCCAATCTCCGTATTCAACCAATAGGGAAAGCCTGTGCCCAGCAGTGGGGACATTAATAGGCTAATGATGATAGCTTATTTAAGTGATTTAAAAATAGGGATTCCTTTTGTATTGGAGTGCCCTAACAATAAGTTATGATGGAGTCTCTTACTGGGACTCAGATTAAATAACTTGGGACTTGTTAATTGAGTCTCAGGGCCATTAATATGAGATGATTATTTATTTTATTTTCGCGCTTCTTCCTCTTGATCTAACTGTGAAATCAAATTAGTTTGGCCAACAGGAATAATTTTTCCAGATGGTCAAACTAATTTACTGACGGGAATAATTTTTCGAGACGGTCAAACTTCTCGGATAACGTACATACAGATGATCATATTCGTTTAAAAGAACCACACCTATATTTCGTAAATGGATTAATCATTGTTTGTACAATCTTTAACCTGAGTAGATAAGCTTTGGCACTTTCTTGTGTGTCTCACTGATAACCTACTATGCTGAATTTGGAAGTTGTAATGTGTAAATATTGTAATTTCTTTTGTCTTGCCCCTCATAAAAACACGTAAAATACACTCGATCTTTACTTGAGTACAGTTAGAAAGGGATGTCGCTATGTGCTATATATATAGCGACATCCCTTTCTAACTATGCTTGAGACTAGATCATTCACTGAGAATCTTTCTATAATCCATATTATACAAAGATTCTCAGTGACCTTTAAAGGTCCATACCTTTAAAGGTCACTGAGAATCTTTGTATTATACGGACCTTTAAAGGTAGGTAGGTAGGTTAGGTATTATAAAAGGATTCTCAGTGATTGATCTAGTTTTAGCCATTAGAAAGGGATGTCGCTATATGTATATAGCACATAGCGACATGCCTTTTTAACTGCACTCAAGTAAAGATCAACACTTACTTGTCATTCTGTAATACGGACCTTAGTTTCCGAGATTTTTAGGATTCTTTGTGATCCGGATTCATTGCTCTCGATTGTAGTACTTCAACTTAGTAATTATTTGTACAAATAGTTACTAATAGTGTTAGTATTCTTTTGATTTTTTAATCGTAGGTTTTAAAGTGAGATTTCACTATAAAACACAATATAGGCAGACAAGTTGATTTCTTTTCAACTAAAAACTTTCTTGTGTTTTAAAAATGCTACGATAGATAATATACATGGCAAAAGTAGCAAAGGTATAAGTGAGTACCGTAGGGCTTAACCTGAAGGGAAGCCCTGCTGAGGCATTTGTTATTTGATTTTGAAGTATTTGTGTTCTTTATAAAAGCATCGAAGTCATTGTTTTATCTTCATAACACAGAATATACGCAATATTGTTTCATTGAGTGCACATGCAGCGTGCTTGAATGTCCAATTGTGACTAAAGCGAATTGTGGTCATGCACCACAATTTAAGCGGATCACTTTTGAGCTGCGAGTGCCGTATCTTCCCTTTTTCTTTTACAATAATTGTTTTCTTTCTTTATTTTTTACTAAATAATTAAGTTTGTTACAACGTCAATACAATCATGATTAATTATTTCTTTTATTGTTGAGTAACATCGATTTCATTTTATTTTCAGGAAAATGGCTAAAGTCATTTTAATTTTTATCATTGCCGTTGTCGCTCATGGTGTGTTTTCACTGGAAGGTTGGTATAATTTATATTTCATAGGTATTTTCTATTTTTTTAAACTAATTAATTCTGCAAATTCATATTCATAGAAAAATGGTTTTTTTCTATAAAAACTCTCAACCCACTTTTCCCAACATTTATTTTCACTAAAATTTGTATCATTTATGTTATACCTACGATGAAATTATTTTTTTTCTTATAAACTCAGTTCTGTATAGTTCGCAAACTAATAAGAATGTCTAAATTTTAAATACTGGTAGCACCATCTATTAACAAAAAGTGGATCTAAAAATTTCACTTTCAGAACCTACAGTTACCTACATGGCTCACGAATTTTAGTTTAACTCACTTTTCAGAACAATATTATGCAAACATTGGTGTCAATTCTGGCATGATTCTCTAAACTTAAAACTAAATTTAACATCAGTCTCTCCTTTTCATTCTGTATAGAGAATGACAGGGATGCACTGTTGTCAAATTTAAGTTTAGCTTTATTAGTGCAATATTTTTTTTGTTTTTAATTAACAGTAATTTGTCTGTTTTTAAACATGAATCGAGTAAGAAAATTCTTCAATCGGTTATGACCTATGATCGTATACTGCTTACGCCATCTGTTGTCGAGTAGCGGAACTAAAAGTAATCTTTTTCGCAGATGATACAGTCGCAGAAGTGGTGAACAGCACAGACGTAGCTATGCAATCGGGTATTTGCTTGAAATGCATATGCAAGGATGGCAAAGTGGACTGCTCCAGTCAGGGGCTCACCACGTACTTCTCTAAGGAGGAATGGGCAGGTGAGCAATTTACATGCTAGTAATGTGATAATAATGGATTATCAGACACACTTTAGTTCTTAAAAAATCCGCTTTGTAAAGTCCTGGATCAGGAATTGAGTGAACATAAGAGTGAAAAAAGGTCCCTCAATGGATCTTTGCAATTGACTTAACTGGATCGAGGGAGGCATATAATAGCTTTACGTAGGTAAGCTACGACTTTACGGAGCGGATTTTTTAGAACTAAAGTATGTCTGAAAATCCATTGAAGACTGGGTGACACATGCAAAGTTCCCTTGCTGATGTCTGGGATTATACTGTATGGTCTAGATCGGAAAACGACCAGGTATATCTGATCCGACCCGATCACAAATCGCAAAAAAAAAACAGGTCGTATTTTGACCGCCTATTTTTCATGTTTCACAATAACAGACGCCGGCCATTCAGTCCTATGACGCTCGATGATTTAGGCGTTCACTACAACACCCGTCCTATGATTGTATACAGCTTACGCCATCTGTTGGCGAGTAGCGAAACTAAAAGTTATCTCAGTCTCAGGATAAAAACAGGTCGTATTTTGACCGCCTATTTTTCATGTTTCTTTTCCTGTTTGACTGCTTAATTGAGAGTAGAGTGAATCGCTGTACCATTAATCATAATACCCGACCAAATTTAGTAGATATATATTATAGAAGATTGATAGTTTAATTGTAAGTAGTTCTCCATATCATCATCATCATCAGCCTATTAATGTCCCCACTTCTGGGGTACAGGCCTTCCCTATGCATGGAATAGGGAGATTGGACCATGACCCACCACGCGGGCCCAGTGCGTGAGTAGCGGGTGCTAACGACTGCAGATGTTGCCGGGACAAACGGCTTCACGTGCCTTCCGAAGGACGGAGGAGCTCTAGATAGTATATTTTCGTTCACCCATCCAATGACCGACCATAGCAAAAGTTGCTTAATAATCGCAGCCGAATATCATTTATTTGGAAAAATGTACCAAGAGATCAAATATGACTATAAAAAACTATAAAAGAAGATTGCATGTGTTACCCATTCTTCAGAGGAATTTCAGACACACGTCAGGTACTTCTAAAAAACCCACTTTGTTAAAAAATCTGGATCAGGGATTAAAGTGAACATAAGAGTGCAAAAGGAACCATCAATGCATCTTTGCAATGGATAAAATCTGGAGTTTGAGGATTACCTTAGTCTCTATAAGCAGCGCATTCATGTTTTTGCTTCGTGGTGACATGAGGTGTGTAGGAGCAGCTTGCAGACCGGCAAGGCAAGGATGGCTGGTGTAGCAGGTAAAACTTCTGCACCGGTTATTTAAAAGACCTCTGTACCAGCTATCTTCGCCTTTGGACTCCATCGCCACTTAACCTCAGGTGGGGTGGAGTTCTTGCTCAGACCTACATGTATAAAATCGTGGAGATTGTGGAAAAAGGAGTGAAATATGTCTGTATTTTCGAGTAAATTTAATCCGACCCTTTTAAAGCCAGCGCGAATAGAGATCTTCAGGATAAGCTGGCTGCACCGTAGAAGATTCCATCTCTGCTCTCGGACCGGATAGAGGGTCAAGAGCTTACCTATTAACATAAGATTTCTAAGTTTTAAATGGATGTCACATTTTTATTACAGCTTTAAAAGACTTCAAACCTACAGTAGTTGACATGAGTGATAATTCCTTTGAGAACATCACGGTTATGGCGGAGCTTCCCATAGAGATTCTAAATCTATCCAGATGCGGTATAGAGTCTATAGAGTTCGCTGCCTTCCGAGACCTGCAGGACATGAGGGTTTTAGACTTGAGCCACAATAAATTGACTTCATCATTGAGCCCGCACGTTTTCGAAGTAAGTATCATCATCATCTTCTTCTTCTTGCTACGGGAGTTTTTGCAACTCTATCCGGATCCGGAAAAGGCGCCATAGCCTGTTTTGCTTGACTCCAGCCGGCTCAGCTCCCTCAGGAACGCCTCTAGGGCCTTCATATTGGTGATTGCCTCTTGGAGGCCACTCCGTTGCATTCCAGCAGAACGTGAGTAGCAGTTACTTCTGCCTCTATGCATCCTCTGCGTCCGTGACACCATCATCAGTAGCCTATTTATATCACAATTTCTAGAGCACAGGCCTGCTTATGGACGGAATAGGAAGAACGAGCCATATACAAACACAGTGTTGGTGGGTATTAGTGCTGCAGATGCAGCAGACACCAATGTTTCAACGTGCTTTTGGACACACGGGGCAGTGTAAGCTAGCATTTTTTTCCCGCCACACCTAAAACCGGCTAATGGGAAAGTTATGTTTCACAATCTTTTATGTAATTGATTGGCTCATTAACAGTAACCTCATGTACTGATTTTCTGCTTGCTACTTAGTAAGAGGTGAATTATGAAATCTTTTCTTAGCAGGTGCGGATGCGACGAGTGTTGAGTCAAATGAAATCTACTAATATTCTATGAATCACATTAGGAACATCCGATTCAACCCGATCCAATTCTATGTTCGTTAAAGGGCAAACGCTCAATGTTTTGAGCTGTGTGTAGATAGATCAATCAGCCAGTAACTGCTGCCTTTAAGATTATAGGCACAGATTTATTTCGTGTATATTTTCAGGGTAGATATTCACCACAACTGTACGAGCCTCTGATGTCTATGGAAGTTCTGAATCTCGGCTACAACGACCTGCACTCTTTAAATTCAGACTTGTTCGAGCACTTATCTCAGCTGACAGTGTTGGATTTGAGCGGGAACCCTATGACGACCATTGATTATAGAACTTTAATCTCCATATCCAGCTTGAGTCTGTTGAAGGTACACATTTTTAAATTACGTTTCGTCATCTTGGTTGGCCATAATTTCCTCTTTCTACAGAAGCGTATAGTTGTTCTACAGAACAATTCTGCAGAAGTGGGTGTGAGTGATTTAAAATTAGACAACGAATTTCAAATAAATTTCAATTCTCACTGGCAAATTCCGTTATTCAAAGTGTGTTTGTTCTTACAGAATTGACTTAGAATTTGACCACTGCTGGGCAGTGCTTGAACTTTAAATTAACAAACTGCTGTCTCTGTATTTTTTACTTCAGGTTCTGCGTTTGCGCTCGTGCCAACTGACAGAGGTCCCTGAGAAATTCCTACACACTTTCCGAAACCTGGAACGTCTGGACCTGAGCGACAACCTCCTAGCTGGAGTGCCCGAGGAGTTGGAAGAGTCTAAGAACCTCCTCTACTTGAACCTCAACCAGAACCCCATCAGGGAGCTGGATGTCAATTCTGAGGAGTATCCGTGAGTTATTTACATACATACAACGCTATCCGTGTCCAATATAATAATGGATTGAGGATGTTGTTGGGGCTTCCACGCTACTGCAGTGCATCGGGTATGTTCGCAGATGCCCACTTAGACGACTTCTCTTTAGTAATGCGCAAGAGAATTGCATCGTTGATGCACAGGGTTCGTGGGAGCGCCAACAGTATTCTCGATGTTATCGGGAAAAAACTGGAGTGTGCCATTCTGGGGTTCTGGGTACTCTAACGTCCGTTACGTTACAGCCTCCTTGTTGGGTAAACTCTTTGTTCATGTAATGCCTACGGCTGGCAGTCATATTAAAAAGTTTATGTCATAATATTTGAAATTAGGAATCCTCTGTCGTTTGATAGAAGATTCCATGAGATAGACTTCAGGCACCAAACCATGCGTTAATAAGATTAAGCTCATATACATATTATATTCTCCTGATTTAAGATATAAAAATATCGAATCAAAGTTGTTTCAATTATAAAGTTACGCTAACAGGGCCTACCCCTTCAGGGTAGATCGCCGCAGTACATATACACGTTCATGTGACCGGTGCCTCAGAAGGAATATATATATATATGAAATAACTTTGTTTTAAAATGTATTATCATAGGTTTTAAGGTTTGATTGTTACTAACATTTCTATGAATCTAGTATCTGAAATAAAACATTATTATTACACAGAACACAGAAAGGGGTTAGGTGGGTGATAATAGACCGTTCGTACGGGAACCGATGTCGCCGGCTCGCCCCCCACTACACTTCCACCTAATAGAAGATATCCAATGAAACGACGCGACATCAAACAATCTAACCAATCAGGGCTCACACCCGAGAGCAACGACGCAATCAGAACCAAGTTTTGGTCAAGTCATGAGAATTTGTGGCGCGCCTGCCCCCAACAAGGATCTTCTAGCCTCTTTCTGTTAGAAAACGTGCACACTAGCTTAGCATTAGGCAGACACCGCACCCGTAGGATATGAGTGCTAAGACCCGGTCTACACACGACACGCTATACCAGGTACAGTACCTGGTACCACGTACCTGGGCGTTTTTCCCCGCCCCCCACGACAACGGCTAACTAGAGCTGAGGTCCGAGTTTCAGAGACGCCCTCTAGTTGAGCCGACCCCCTCAGGTTCGAGTGGTCTAGAGGCTCCAGGCGGAGAGGAGAGTCCCCCCGTGGGGAGACGCCATCCGCCTGGAATACCTGGAATACCTAGAGGCAATCGCCAATTCTCGGCTTGAGGTCCCCTTAGGATCTCGCCGTCCCCAAACCCGGTGACGATGTAAAGGTCATCTGCGACCAACAGTATACACACTCAAAAAAAAATAACTTTCTGTGTTCTGTGGTTATTTATTACGAATTACTAGTGGTGTTCGCGACTTCATTTGCGTGTAAAAATCGGTTTACCATACAAACTTCCACCCCCATTATCACGCCCTTAAAGGATGATTTTAGGATAAGGTACCTTTCCTGGGACTCAAACTAGAGCTAGTTTATGGAATACTAAATTTCATTGAAATCGATTCAGCGCTTTAAGCGTGGAGAGGTAACTGATAGAGCAAGAACCCACGATGGCCAGACCTTCGTTATTTTATAAAAGCTGAAAGTTTCTCTGTACACGTCCCCATACAGGAAAGAATGACCAGCGACTATTGAGTTTGGGTTATGAAGTGGGTACAGATGGACCCAGCCCGGGGGGGGGGGGATCATGCCCCCCATGACCGCCCCCCTGGATCCGCCCTTGACCTGGGTAGGTACACTTCCAAGGTAAAATACATCCAGAAAACATTTGGTTCCATGGATGTTCACCACATTGGAAGTATTTTTCTGGATTTGGCCTTGAATTGACCTTGATGCTGACCCGATTGGATCGAATAGACTCTGGATTCGGATTCAGTGACCCGAGAAACATATGTGTACATCACCAAAACCATTTCTGAATTCACGTTCAACAGAAACATTATACAGCCGTACATTTTCGACTTTGACACGCTGTAGCTCCTCATGTATGAACTTTTGGCCATTAGGCCCATGGGGTCTTTTATTCCACGTGTCATGAGCTATCATCTCCCAAAGTTACAGAAAAATTGGCCGAGAGCCAGCTTCCATAAGGATTCTGCGGGGTCCTTTAGCTAGAACAAAATCCACGCGGTATGGCAAGGTTAGATCTGGTACCGAATGGAATACATTTAAGTAAAATGTTCTTTAGATTTACATATCAAGCAGTTCATTGCTGCCAATAAAATATTTAATATATTTTGACCCAGGGGCTTCCCCCGTCTTCGGAAGCTGAAGGAACTGCATATGTGTAACATGCCGATCTTGAAGAAGATCGGGCAGGGGGCGCTGGCAGGCCTTGAGAACCTGGAGAAGCTGCATTTGAGTTTTAACCCACAGTTGACGTACATAAGTCCTAAAGCTCTAGCACGTCCCGACGACATAGGGGAGAATTATGACTGGCCTATGGTGAAAGAGGTGAGTAGGCATTCTTTTTTACGTATAAGTCACGGCACGGAACTCTAGCGCTGACCGTTATTGCGCAGAAGTAAAAAATAAGATGTCATAGGGGGAAACGAGGTGCGCGGGTGGGCGTGCGTTGCGCCGATTGGCTCTCCAGTCGTACCCATGCGCAGCTATCCCTTCCGCGTTTTGTTCAGCACCAGAGTTACGTGCCGCGATCTGTATTGTCACAAAAGGTTTATCTTTTCAGAGTTAATGAGTGTATGTGCGTTATGTAAGCTTAAGACTTTTTTTTTATAATAAAAGAAACCGTGGACTTATGGTACTTCAGACGGTGTACATATACCTTCATCACGAAGGTCGTCATGATTTTCTTTATGTTAAAAGGGTGGCAGACAAGCACATGGCCCGCCTGATGGTTAGCGGCCACCATAGCCTATTGACGCTTGCGATCACCAGCCTATTAATATCCCCACTGCTGGGGCACAGGCCTTCCCTATGGATGGAATAGGGAGTTTCGGCCATGACCCACCACGCGGGCCCAGTGCGAAATGGTGAGTGCTAACGACTTAATTTGACGTGCCTTCCGAAGCAGGGAGGAGCTCGAGATAGAAGATTTTTGGTTACCCATCCAATGACCGACCACTGCGAAAGTTGCTTAACTTCAACGATCGCAGCCGAACGCGCTAACCATCCGCGCCATCGAGCTCCCCATATTCCCTATTCGAGCGGAAATTCAAGAGGAAATGGTAGGTACTGTAACGTCCGCTACGTCACAGCCTCCTTGTTTGGGTAAACTCTTTGTTCATGTAATGTCTACGACTGGCAGTTATAGGCTATTAAAAAGCTAATGTCATGACTTTTAAATATTTGAAATTGGGAATCTTCTGTCGTTTGATAGAAGATTCCATCAGATAGACTTCAGGCACCAAACCATACGTTGATAGATTAAGCTCAATTATTATATTCGCCTGATTATCAATAAAATAAAAGAGTTAAATATATAAATTGTTTTCCATTTAATAAAACTACGTCCCCAGGATCTACCCTTTCAGTGAATGATGATGGATTAAAACAGTTTCTTTTTAATTCCAGCTGTACATGAAGTCCAATGGTCTGTCCGAGTTGGATTCTCGTCTTCTATCCCGCTGGGACATGCTTACCGCCATAGATGTGTCCGACAACCCATTCATGTGCGACTGTTCCACCCAATGGATGGTGGACACCTTAGTGCCGATCGTCGATAAGGTCAAACCGAACGCTTCTAAGGCTATGGTGTGAGTTAATAATAATATAATAATAATCTTTATTATTTCTTCTTCCATAATCCCCCACTGCTGGGACACAGGCCTTCCTTATGGCTGGAATAGGGAGTTTGGGCCATGACCCAGGATTGGTGGGTGCTAACGACTGCAGATGCAGCCGGGACCAACGGCTTAACGTGCCTTCCGAAGCACGGAGGAGCTCGAGATAGAAAATTTTATGGTCACCCATCCAATGACCGACCACTGCGAAAGTTGCTTAACTTCAACGATTGCAGCAGAACGCGCTAACCACTTGCGCGATCGAGCTCCTCCATATCAACTTATTATACTATAATTTTATATAAGAACAATAAAATAGTTTGTGAGAGACTGGTGCCTGAACTAGGCAGGAAGCCTGTATTTCAGAGGACCAGGACTCTCCTTCGCCTGGAGAATGCACAGTTAGCAAATTAAAGGGTCATGGTCAGGATCTTACATTTAAAATGTAGGTATAGGTATAAAAAAATATGGGTGCGTGTACTTAAGTACGCGCGTGAGAAGTTATACTTCTTTTTGGAATTATTAAAAAATAGTTTTTAATTGCATGCAGATAATTAATTACAATAAGATAATAAAAGGATTGGAAAAGGATGGTCAACGCAGTCAATAAAGTTCAGTTTTAATTTGAAAAATTTAATAAATAATCAAAATATTCAATTTAAATCACTACTGAATAAAATTTATTAGCACATATAAATTTCGCATTGGTATAACATTATAACACGTGTTAAGAATATAGAAACTAGAAACATGTGGATAAATATTATAAATATGAAAACAGTGATCAGAGGCCACGAGCGTCCCAACATGTGCGACTAAGAGATCCTATTACTATTTTGTTGGAAGCTTTTTTTCGAGACTTAGGAGTAATGTGCGGTTTAGCGACCGACTTCATGGTGTTACTTTTCTGTTACAGTGTTGCGCGCGCATCTTAAAATTTCACTCTCATCATTTTTTCATAACGCGCCCGCGGCTAACTTCATTATGTTACTTTTGTGTTACAGTGATGCCCCCGCATCTTAAAATTTCACTCTCATAATTTTTTCATAACGCGGCTAAAGAAGTATAACTTCAATAAAACATTTTATTATCACAGTGACACGATTACGCTTAAAATAAGTCATATCCATATTTATTTACAAGAAAGGGGGCGTCCATAAATTACGTGAGATGTTTAAGCCCCCCCCCCCCCCCTTAAGGGGGTCGAATCAAATATCATCTAATCTTACGTTGGAGAGAGGGGGAGGGGGTATTCTTTTTGGGGGAAGTCTCGGCAAATATCATGCATTTTTTTTCTGATTGAAACAATCCAGATTGTACATGCTTAAGATCTAATCTTAAGCGTAATCTGAATACGATTAAGATCATTCACTAATTTGAAAGTAATAACTCTCAGCAATATTGATTACTAGTCTTAACTAGTCGTAAATGAAAGCACACAGTTTGAAGAATATCACTACATCTCACCAGGGGGGGAGGGGGGGACAGAAAATTCAAAAAACACCGCACGTAATTTATGGACGTCCCCAAACATGGTACAATAATAAAATTAAGGTAAAAAAAACCTTTTTAAAAACTAGCTTTTATTCAAATGCGCTAAAAAGAAAAAAAGAAAATTTCAAGTAAATTAGTTAAAGATATCTGTTTCTAAATAGAAGTCCGCCATATTGGATTGAGAGTGACGTCACATTTTTTTCGAGTTACTCTCAGCAAGCCCTTTAATTTGATACCCATATTGTAGGAATGCATTAAAAATGATTGGTCCGCCATTTTGGGTATGCCGCCATATTGGATTTAGAATGACGTCACACTGTTAATCATGCATTGTCATCCGAACTGAACGAGCATATCAAATTTCAGCTTAATCGGTTGAGAGCAAGTGCTTTAAAATTGATTTGTAAGATTTGACCGTAACAAACATACATAGCAAGTTAAATAAAAGCTTGTAAAAAGATGTTACAATACATATGGTGCTCAAACATGATTCGCTAAATTAGCATGCAATTATCAAATTATTTTATATTAATATTGTAATTGGTCACACTATTGTCAATCATACCAAAACATTCCATCCAATTCCATTTAAACACGTCAATTAATCGTCATATGTCATTACATATACATGTCAACAAATCCATAATATTATTGATTAAAAATAAGTTATAATTTTAGTCTAATTTACAATCATAAAACTTTAAATCATTTATTCCATTTACACATGTCAAATTAACAAGCAATTAAGTTAACAATAAACTATAAACTATATGTAACGGATTGTGTGATTTGGAGCCTAAACTAGGGCGACCCTGTTTTTCAGGACTCCAGGTTAGAAGGATAATCATAAAAAATTCTAAGGGAACCAATGTCGCCGGCTCGCCCCCACTACACTTGCACCTAATAGATTATAGCCAATCAAACGACGCGCCAACAAACCATCGATGTGCAATCAGAACCAAGTTTTGGTCAAGTTATGAGCATTTGCTCACACATTACTGTGGCGCGCCTGCCCTTTTTTAACCTCTTTCTGTGTGTTCTGTGAGGCCTACCACCTATCGGCATGGCTACGGCTATAGCTGTGGCTAATGGTTCAATTTTGTTATTTCTGACCGCCAAAGGTTTTTACAAGCCTTGCTCACTTTTATTTCTTTTGCTTTGGTAATTTGAGTAGTTAGTGGTATGTACGCCGGGTTTCATGGTGTCGCCTACTCTAGAGGTCCCGGGTTCGAATCCCGGTGGGGGCAGATGTTTGGGTGATAAATACGAGCTCTTGTACCCCAGTCATTCAGTTTGTCTTTATAAGTATACTTATATATGTATCAGTATATGTATTCTATCCGTTACCCTAGCATCCCATAACACAAGCCTACAGCCTACTTTGGGGCTAGGCTAACTGGAGTGAGTGTTAGAAATATTTTTATATACTATTATAATAACAATATTAAAAAAAACGTAAGTACCGTGAATACCGCTTGGAAGTAGGCTCCCTGGAGCCTAAACTAGGGCGACCCTGTATTTCAGGACTGTTTATGGTCATTTTTATCTACTCTTTTTCATTGTGTCATGTTATTATATTGTTACTATGGAGACTTAATTTCTGTTGATAAAAACTCAAGAAAATACAATTATTTTATTTCAAGACATATTTTTATTCAATTGCTAATTTCTTCCCTAAGGATCAGAAACATGGTCCTTCGTCGCCAGTAAAATGGACAAAACACAATCATAGGTCATGCAAAAGTTGCATTATAGTACAAACAGTTGTATTGGTGAAAATTAGTTCGGCAAGGTCCAGGTATGAAAAAAAACCAAGTATTCTGATCAAGTTCGAGTACGTCGCATATTTCAAGTTCGAGTACGTCGCTTATATCTAGTTCGAGTACGACCTGCATAGTTCAAGCTTAGTTCAAGTTGCACAGTTCGACGAGTTCAAGCAATTATAATCCAAAGAAGTGCTGGTATTTTTAGTATTTCCATAATTGTCATTAAATGTTGTTTTTTTATATTAAATTTATAAATAAGTTCATATAACTAGTGCGTCAAAATGCAAGTAGAAATAAATTTGCAGAAAGACTTGTCGAATAGAATAGAAAAAGCATGGGTAAATTATAAAAAATCGCCCAAAGAACGGATAACCGAGCCTTATGTTCAGACTAGACTACAACAGTTAGAACAGAATTGGTCTATTTTTATGTCAACACATCAAAAAATTGTTTTAAATTTAGATTGGGATACATTCCAGAACAGTGATTACACGACTTTAGAAACATTTGATAAGACTGAAGAGATGTATTTAGACTATAAATGTCAGCTTAAACTAATGTTAAATAATTTTTCGTCATATAACTCTAAAAGCCTAGAAACAACCAGTTCAAATTGCAACAGTAGCAGTACTTCAATAAAATTGCCGAAAATAACGATTCCGACATTTTCAGGAAAATATTCAGAATGGACTACATTTCATGATCTTTTTATATCCCTAGTTCATAAAAATAGTTCACTCGACAATGTTCAGCGAATGCATTATTTGAAGGGTCATCTAACAGGCGAAGCTGAACAATTCGTTCGTCATACTTCTGTAACTGAAGACAATTACGAACAATGTTGGTATCAATTGGAAAAGAGGTATAACAATAAAAAATATTTGGTAAACTGTATTCTTAAGAGATTTTTTGCTCAAAAACGCATATTCGTAGAATCTGCTACAGCTTTGAAAGATATTTTGGATACAACAACGGGCTGTATGAATGCTTTGAAAAACTTAAAGATTGACGTTAGCACTTGGGATCTTATAGTAATCCATGTCGTTACGTTTAAGCTCGATCCAGAAACCCGAAAACAGTAGGAACTATCAATTTCTAGTGACGATTCTAATAATTTACCTACATTAGAGCAATTCAAAACTTTTCTTCATAGTCGGTTTAGAGCTTTAGAATGTATCGAACCTAAAAGGACAACAGGTCAACAATACACTTCAAATACTAATCAATTTAACCCTAAAGTCATGGTGGCGACTCGCAAAGATCATTCTTATAGCATAAATTGTGAATATTGTAACGAACCTCACAAATTGTGTTATTGTAAGAAATTTATAACTCTTGATTACGACAAACGACGTGAATTTGTTTCAAATAAAAAAATGTGTTTTAATTGTTTAGGTGGTAATCATATGTTGAATCAGTGTAAGAAACCTACTTGTTGTCACACATGCAAAAGGAGACATCACACACTTTTGCATATACCCAGTACTTCTACATATAATAGTTCGTCAAATAGTTCAAGTTCAAGAGTTCAGAAGAACAACCCTGGTACGTCATCTGAAGTTATAAATTCCTCGACAGATACACCAATGGCGTCATATGTTTCAACTGGAAAGGTAATCCAATCGAAACAAGTTTTATTAGCTACGGCATTAGTAAAAGTTCAGTCTCATTGTGGCGATTATCAAGTAGTTCGAGCTTTATTAGATCAGGGATCTCAAGCCAGTTTCGTTACTGAAGCTACAGTTCAGTACTTAAAATTAAAGAAAATTCCAATTAATGGAATAATATCTGGTCTAGGTGCCAACAAAACCATTGTTTCAAAGTACAAAGTCAAACTAGTGTTGCAGTCATTGATAGATTTAAATTTTAAAATCGAATTAAGTGCCTATGTTTTGAAAACTATAACATCGTTTCTTCCTACGAAAAGAGTAGAATCGTTTGATTATTCACATTTAAAAAATCTCGTACTCGCAGATCCTGAATACCATCAGCCTAACAAAATTGACATTTTGTTGGGGGCAGGTGTCTATAGTCGCATAATTAAGGAAGGTATTAAAAGAGTTCCAAACAAAGATATTTTAGCACAGAGTACCAGTCTCGGCTGGATTCTTTCTGGTGTAGTCAATTCAAGAGATGAAAATAACGTAAAAAATACCATAGTTATGCATGCCCAGGTCGACGATAACTATATGCTTAAGAAATTTTGGGAAATAGAAGATTATTTACATGATAACAAATATAATCAAAAATTATTTACAGAGGAAGAACAAAAATGTGAAGATATGTTTGCCAAAACCACCAAAAGAACTTCTGAAGGGCGTAATGTCGTAAAACTTCCATTTCGTAATAACAATCCGCAGTGTGTCGGCGGCAATAACAAACAAATAGCTGTAAGAAGATTCAAATCATTAGAGAGCAAACTACTCAAGGACTCGAATTTAAGACAAAGGTACACTGATGTTATACATGAATATTTACAGTTAAATCATATGAGGCCGGTACAACAAGGCAGTCATAATAACGAAAAGGCTGTATATTTACCTCATCACGCAGTAGTGAAAGAAGAAAGAACTACCACCAAGGTACGAGTAGTTTTCGACGCTTCTTGTAAAAATGATAAAGGTGTATCATTAAACGATGAATTAATGATAGGTCCTACCTTGCAATTAGATCTTCGGCATATTGTCATGCGTTGGAGAGTATACCCGATTAGTCTTGTTGCAGACATTGTCAAAATGTATCGACAGGTATTAGTTGCTGAGGAAGACGCAGTATACCAAAGAATCGTGTGGAGAGATGATCCTAGGGAAGAAATAAAGGAATATGAGCTATTGACAGTCACCTTTGGTACAGCATCAGCACCATACCTTGCGGTAAAATCACTTAATCAGGTCGCCTTAGATGAGGGTCACGAATTTCCAAACGCTAGAGATAGAGTTCCAGTTTCATTTTATATGGATGATCTCATGACGGGCTGTTACACTGTAAAAGAAGGAGAGATTGTTTATAAAGAAATGAAAAATCTACTAAGCAAAGGTGGTTTTGTACTACAGAAATGGAACAGTAACAATCAAGAACTACTTGATGCAATAAGGACATGTGAACAAAGGATAGGTAATATTACAATAAGTACAAGGGATATAAAAGAAGTTCAAATAAAAGAAAGTTGTCAAGAGAATAGTGATGAGAGTAAAATAAAAAATAAACAAGAAATTTTAAATAAAGACATCACAGATACTACAAAGATTTTAGGTCTTACCTGGTCTCGTACAGAAGATAATTTCTCGTACTCAGTGCAGTTCCCATCTAGATCTGGACCTGAAACAAAAAGATCAATATTATCAGATATTGCACGTTTGTTTGATCCCTTAGGTTGGGTTGCTCCGGTTGTAATTTTAGCAAAGATATATATACAAAAGCTTTGGTTGTCCGGTATCGGTTGGGACGATGAAGTTCCAATCAATTTGAAAATGGAATGGGATACTTACCGTAACAATTTAGTTCAACTCACCAATTTTAAAGTACCGCGATGGATCGGTATTCAGTCGGACGAAGATTACGTCGAACTTCACGGCTTCAGTGATGCTTCAAAATCAGCATTTGCTGCAGTAATATACATAAGAGCAGTTAGTAAAGACAACAAAGTTCGTGTTTCACTCTTAGTTGCAAAAACTAGAGTTGCACCCATTAAACAAATAAGCATTCCACGATTAGAATTGTGTGGAGCACTCCTTTTAACTCGTTTGTTGATAGAAGTAGCCCGTGAAATGAACATTCCAAAAGACAATGTGCGAGCTTGGACCGATTCAACGATAGTAATATCTTGGCTAAACAGTCATCCTAGCCGTTGGAAGACGTTTGTAGCCAACCGTGTTTCGGAAATACTAACGAGTCTAGATTCTACACAGTGGTCTCATGTCTCATCTCAAGATAATCCCGCTGATTGTGCATCGAGAGGATTAGAACCGAAATCTCTACTGACAAATACACTTTGGATACAAGGACCACAATTTTTGTGGGATCAAAATATCACATACAATAGACCTGATATTCAGGGTGTCAATTTAGAAGAACGCGTCCAATCTCATTTAGTAACCAATGAAGGAGAATCGGTATGGGTCAAATATTCTTCATTAAGAAAGCTTCTACGGGTTGTAGCGTTTTGCAGGCGTTTTATATATTCCAAGAAGAATCTTGTAACAACGAATTATCTGAAAAAGAAAGAATTGAATGAAGCATTAAAATGTTGCATTAGAGCTTGTCAGAAAAAAGAGTTTCAAGAAGAATATTTACGATTACAAGGAAACAAACAATTACAAAAGAATTCTAAAATAAGATCATTGTGTCCTTATATTGACGAGGAAGATATAATCAGAGTTGATGGTAGAATACAACAGTCTTTGCTGCCACATCAAACCAAACACCCAATAATACTTCCTCACAATTCACATTTATCAAAACTTATTGTCACTGACGCCCACGAACGGACATTACATGGTGGTAATCAGTTAATGATCAATTATTTGAGATCAGCTTACTGGATCATTAAAATAAAAAGTCTGGTGAAGCAACACATCAGAAATTGTATAATATGCATAAAGAACAATATCAAAGTAAAGAATCAACTGATGGGTTCCTTACCTTCCGTACGTTGCACTCCAGCTAGGCCATTTATTCACAGTGGGGTAGATTACGCAGGTCCTATTAATATTCGGACCAGTAAGGGGCGGGGGCATCGCTCATATAAAGGCTATATATGCATTTTCATTTGTATGACTACGCGAGCAATACATCTCGAAGTTGCTAGCGATTTAAGCACACAAGCGTTCTTAGCTGCATTTAGACGGTTCGTGTCCAGGCGTGGTCATTGTTCTCAGATGTGGAGCGACAATGGCTCAAACTTTATAGGCGCAGCACGAGAACTACAAGAATTGACTCGAATACAACCTGACATAGCAAAACAAATCGAAGGAAATGGCACTGAGTGGCATTTTATACCCCCTCATTCGCCAAATTTCGGTGGGCTGTGGGAGGCAGCCGTTAAATCGACTAAATTTCACCTCAAGCGTGTACTTGGTGACAACACTTTATTAACATTTGAAGAAATGAGTACATTACTATGCCAAATCGAGGCATGCTTAAATTCTAGGCCGATAACCGTTATTAACCCGAATGATCTTGACGAGCCGTTACCATTGACTCCTGGTCATTTTTTAATAGGAGAAGCGTTGACTACTGTCCCTGATCCAAATTATATCAACACCTATATCAGTCCCTTGCATAGATGGCAGTTAATTCAAAGGCAAGTACAGGAATTTTGGAAACGGTGGTCTCAGGAGTACCTGACTAGTCTTATACATAGGTACAAATGGGAATATCAAACACCAGAACCAAAAATAGGTGATGTAGTCCTCATAAAGGAAAATGATTTACCTCCCTGTCGGTGGTTACTTGGTCGAGTCTTAGAAAAACATCCAGGTCATGACAATATCACTCGAGTGGTCACGTTACGAGTGAAAGGGTCTTTGTTAAAACGACCCACATCCAAGTTGTGTATATTACCTGTTAACCCTAATAATTAAGCTAATTGTAAATAGATCTAAGGTTTAGTTCATTAACATTAATTTGATTTTTTGTCAGATTGGACATCTTTTATAGATTTTCTGTTATATTTTGTTCAAGTACCCACACAGTACATTTTCTTTATTTAGTTTAAGTTATTTAAGTTGTATCTAATGTTAGGTTTTAAAGTACGTAAAAAATACGTCCTTTGGCGGGCGGTATGTTTATGGTCATTTTTATCTACTCTTTTTCATTGTGTCATGTTATTATATTGTTACTATGGAGACTTAATTTCTGTTGATAAAAACTCAAGAAAATACAATTATTTTATTTCAAGACATATTTTTATTCAATTGCTAATTTCTTCCCTAAGGATCAGAAACAAGGACTCCAGGTCCCATCCGCGAATCTACCTCGCTACCACTTGCTTGTATGTGTGTTTGTATGCAAAAGTCTATGCGTGTGCATGTGTATATGTGTGTATGTTAGTATAAATGTTTAAAATATAATAATAATAATAAAATACATTAGCGGTAGAGTAATGAGTGTGTCCCTAGATTTATTGTGAGTTCCGACTTTTTACCATTCTTACAGAAATTTGAGGCTGTACTATTAAAACATTATGTAAAATCTTGTGTAAGTGTCCGGAATCCTTAAAATTCCTGGACTGCCCGCATTTTTAATTACGGGCTACGGAGGATTAATAGTGTGATGATAATTGTTCCAGATGTTCAGAGCCTGAAGAGATGAGAGGTTTCACCATGAGGCATGTGCATGACATCAAACGCACCATGCGCTGCGTAGACAAGTACGGACACAGGCCAGAGAGGGACGGCGCTATGCTCATGGGCACTCTCATCGGTGAGAGCGACAGAGACAACATTACCACAAGCATGAACAATGAGCACGAAAATATTCGTATCGCTATCTATGGTCAAAGTTTTATGGAAGGAGCAAGTTTGTTCTTACGTCCGGCTGCATAGTTTCTATTGACTTGTACTCTCTCAAACGTCCCATGATACTTGAGTGTCCTCTGTGGGCGGTCCTGCATTATAAGCAGGGGCGCTGCATAGTTTCCATAGACTTGACGATGGCTATACGAATACTTTCTCGTATCCCTGTCATCTCGTAGGCCTGTACCTCAGCAGCGGGGGCATTAATAGACTGATGATGAAGATGATATTTATGAAAAATACATTGCATAATTATATTTCAGGTGTCCTGCTTGCTGTTCCCATTATGATGGGCGTGATCTTGTTGTGGAAACGTGGATATTTCGCGTTCATTGGATTCAGGGGACCAACGGAAGTATCCAGAGCGTTCTACAAGAGAGCACCCGATAATGACAACTTCATGTAAATTCAAGATAGGAAAGTCGGAGTAGGAGAGAGAATGTGTAAATGTAAGAGAGGAAAGTGTAAAACAGGATAGGTAGTGGTTACAAAATCTATTTTTTTTGTAAAGTATTACATGAGTGTCTTAATAAGCGTATTGTTTATTTTTTAATAAAAAATATTTGCATTTATTTGTTTGTCAAGTGTTTTTTTATGAATTTGTAAGTTACGTTACTCTAAAACGAACACGAGAGTTGAAGTTACTATATATATAGACTTATTACAATTTAGACTACGATGCCCGTTGCTGGACTTAATTTTAGATACGTCTTGAATTGAAATTTAAAACATAGGCCCGTAATATAAAAAGATTCTCAGTGATTGATCTAGTCTTGAGCATAGTTAGAAAGGGATGTCGCTATATATAGCACATAGTGACATCCCTTTCTAACTGTACTCAAGTTAAGATCAACACTTAGTTGTCATTCAGTAATACGGACCTAAGAGTTAAGCACGCAATTACGAAGAATTGCTTTTGTTTTCTAGTTTTTATGGGAGGGAAGCAGTAAGGAAAAATGCATTTGCTTTAAATAAGATAACTTTGAATATCTGTATGTGTTCTGTTTAAAGTGGTAGAACTATTGTGTTTTACTGTTGTTAATAATTTTAAAGGTATCCTGATTATAAGCTTGCGCGAAAAATTTAATATTGAAAAAAAAACCTAATATGTCATATAAACTGTTAGACAAAATAACAGAGCTTTAGTCGTAGCAACGTCGTAGCTCTAAGTTCGGCCGCACTAGTTGTCAAAATGAACTGACAGATGTGATGGGGGATTCCCCGCATATGAGCGAGCGCGTTGTAACCTTGTGATGTGGTTGTGTCTATTAAATAAAGATAATTTCTGAAGTAAACCGAGTTTTATTTTACAATTTTTATGTACTAAGTAAATTCTTTTCTGTATATTAATAGTTGCACAATACATTATTACACTTAGCACATAGGTGGGGTATAGGCATATATACCGGGACTTGTCCACAAAACACAAGAAAAAAAAAAATAGCAGAGTGATCATAGACCGTTTGTACAGGAACCGATGTCGCTGGCTCCCCGCCACTACACCTCTACCTAATAGCCAATCAAACGCCGCGATATCAAACAATCCAACTAATCAGCGCTCACACCTGACAGCAACGACGCAATCAGAACCAAGTTTTGGTCTTGTTATGAGCATTTGCTCACACATAACTGTAGCACGCCTACCCCTCTCACAAGGCCCTTTTAGTCTCTTTCTGTGTTCTGTGTACTTGTCCAACCCCATCCCACTACTTAGAGATGAATTATCATATTCGATGGCAAAAAAAATAACACCATTCTCAATCATATTTCACGAATAGATAAAGGTAACACATTATTTTTCTACTCTTTAACCTGAGTAGATAAACTTGGTGTCTGTTTCGCTGATAAACTATTGTGCCGAATATAAAATAAACATCACAATCAGGGCTGCCAGATGTACGATTTAAATCGTACTCCTATGATTTTTTGGCATTATTACTCATGTACGATCGCTCGACCACGATCGTACGGAAAGTGTACGATTTTTCTGTACCTGGCAACATTTCGTAATGAAACGAATGTGTTCCTCCGGTAGCTTTATGTTCAGGGAATCCCCTATGAATGTTACTTATGCCTAGATCTTTTACTTGAAAGAAGGCCTTATTACAATGGTAAAATGTTTTGGGGCGTCATTAAAAAACAATTTGAAAATTATAAAACACTGGCTCAATTTGCTTTAAATATGTTATGTTTACCCCATTCCAGTGCAGACTGTGAAAGGGCATTCAGTCAGGTCAATTTAATCAAAACAAAACTTAGAAATAGTTTATCTAATGAAACACTGAAGGGAACATTATTAGCCAAGCAATTAATACGAAGAAACGGAAATTGCACCAAGTTTAAGCCAACAACAGAAATGTTAAAAAATATGACCTCAGAAAATTTGTATACCTCTAATAAATAGTTTTATTACATAATTTTTCAAATTCTGAACAAATTATTGTCATTTTTAATAAACACTTTGAACTTCTAAGTTGTACGATCTTTTCATTTCAAAATTTCCTTGGAATACGATTTTTTTGTAGTTGACGTACGATCATGCCTTTTTTTCATCTGGCAGCCCTGATCACAATTATAAATGTGTAATATTTTTTTGTGTGAATATGGTCATGTAGTTTGTCCATGGTCACTCTCTTAAAAACTCATTTAACAGTGCCAATTGTAAGTAATTATTTATATAAATTGTTTGTAATCAATTTAAATTCTTTAGACTGGCGGCCGCCCGCGATTTCGTGCGCGTTAACTTAGTTTTTTGAAAATCCCTTAGGAACCTAACATTTTTTCGGGATAGAAAGTAGCCTATGTGTAAATCCATGGTGTCAGCTAACTCCATACAAAATTTTATTAAAATCGTCCCAGCTGTTTTGACGTGAAGAAGTAACGAACATACACACACACAAACTCTCGCCTTTATTTTAGCCTAAAATTTTAGCGTGATTTCATGTTACTAAAAATACATAATACAGACAAGTTGATATCGTTTTAAAACATTCTTCAGAAGCAAACATGCTAATATTATAGATATTTATTTATTTTATTTATGAGTACTAAATAATGCACAAGCTAACAAAAGCGGACTTAATGCCGTGGGCATTCTCTACCAGTTAACCATAGGGCGTTGTGGAAAATTAGTGGTACGGTGCGCAACTGAGGTGAAAATTATAGAATGACAAACAAATATATGGCAGAAATCTATGTAAATACTCTTAATTTATTGTTACACAATAACATCGAATTCCTTTTATTTTCAGGACAATGGCTTCTAGAGTCATTTTATTTTTTATTATATTTGCCGTGGCCGCACGGTGCGCGTCTTCACTAGGAGGTCAGTATAATTCAAAAACTTTGTCGTCATTGAGTGTCGTGAAACACTCAGTTGGAACGAAATTTAAACATACGAAACAACTGACGGTTGTGACGGAAAAATCTTAAACATTTTCCCCAGTCGCCAAGTCCGTACTGTCCGAAAAGGAGATCAAAGGACACGGGGTCCCCCGGTTTGTCCTACTGGTGGGATCACGGTATACCACTATGAACCTGTGGTCCTATAGGACTAGGGTGATTAATATGGCATAGATAACATATAGCATAAAGAGCAGACGTGGCGCTGTGAGACATTTGAGCAATAGGTATTTGAAAACAGTATCGCGCATTGGCGAATACCGTGCGAGGGACAACTATAGCTAAGTTCAGTGTTAGCTTTGAGTATAGAAATTGCGAAATTCAAGGTTTGGCTTTCGACGATTTCATCCTCGTAAATAAGATATATGTCAAATAAATTTTACCCATAGATTAATAAGTAGTTTTATTAGGCCTCTATGTTTTTTTTTTTGTAAATTCTTATTGAATTTCCTGACTAGACGTCTTTAGTGGTTATAAAAATTAGTTGCATTTTGGCATTTTGGAGAGGTTCTAGTTTCTTTGAAATACAAGTTGTAGAAAATAGAAAGACATAAGAGCATAGAATTTATAAAATCATATTTTTGCGATAATAAAGGAGGCATCATTTGAGAACATATCGACCTATCCATAGAATAAAGCTACTTCTGCATAATCACAACTTTACAGTAGAGCAATTTTAAGTTTGTAAAATGTAAAATATGCTGTAACTTGTATTGGTATTTTTCTATCATTTGAATATTTTTACTAATCATATAAAGCATTAAGAAGCAAATTATGACGCATTTATTGTTTAAAAAAAAACTACATTACGAACCGAACCGAAAATATCACGAATTTGACAAAATGTAACTGTAACAGAACCACTATTTTCATTGTGGATAATAATTATAATACGATTTTCAAGCGTAATTGAATTAATTGTACCAATTGCCAATGCATCTTCTACGAATAGATCAAAAAAATAAATGTGAAAACTATCATAGTGTTGGTGTAGCCACAATTCAAAAACAAAGTTCTTGTTGAACAACCCTATATTACCTATTGCTTATGTAATTTAATTTATTCATATTTACATAGAAATATTTCAATTACAAAAGCTTAAAACTACTTAATGTCTAATAACTTGTTGTGATAAGACAATTAATTTCAAAATAAATAAAATCATGGAATCAACACCTAATCGTTATGTTCACTTCTTTTGTACAATTATACAATTAATACAAAATGATCAGTATTGGGCTTTTTCTTGCACTTTTACGTTAAACCGAAAATGCATTACCGTCTTCAGATTTAATGTGGTTTTAAATTGAAAAGTAGAAAAAAAAAAACTTAATTACTAATATGAAATAATTCCTATAAGATAATTTTATTTCATGAATTGACATAAATATAATTAAAATAAGACTATTGACATAATACAGACATTTATCGATACGATATAGTATAACTATGATATACTATAATATGGTACGCCTTACTCCATTAGGACCACGGGTACACTGTGGCATATCGTGGTCCCATCAATAGGACAAACCGATGGGACCAGACCGATTTCTACGGGGTACATAGAAAATTTGCTTTTCTGTACAAAATTTCACCCATGCATCATCCGCTTCAAGTTATATTTAAAATAAAAGTCATATGCACCAATGTCAAACTGCTGTTGGCACAATATGCAGAAAACTGTAGCCCCGGGCCATTACGCGCAATGGCTGCGTGATACTAATGAGATCAGATTGGTTGAAAGCAGTCAACGTGTGCGTGTGTAGCGACGAGCTTATCTACCATATGTAGTAGATATTTTTTTTCTGCTTCCGTTGGGTTAATACTGTATCTAGGCACGTATATAATCAAAGATCTAAATACTTTGTTTGTTGAAGCCATAAGATTACTCACGAATTTTAGCTTGACTGACTTTTCTGAACGATTGTTTTTCTAATATTTTGTACAAAACAACTAGGTATCTGTTGTTGTTACGGTTAAAGACATTTATTTTCTCAAAAGAATTTACAAAAAATCCACTTACAGAGAAAATACAAAGCATAATTAACAAAAAAATCATTACATCGTGTCGACTAACAATTCAAAAATGTAGGTAGATTTACAAACAGAAACAACAATCGCAGTCTCTGCGCATGCGAACAGCGGAGACACATAAGGGCAATGACACAGTGCGGGATGTAGCGGTGCGACTAATCTTACATAGAAATGCATGAGAAAAAGAAAATACGTATCATTTTATCTTACACAGATCAAACATATATATATATATTAACATATCTATGCATATATGTTTTGGAAATTCTAGGTTAAGTTCGTCTTAGTAATATAGGAAACTTATGTTATTACTAAATGTTTTTTTGTTACTTTCAAAGTGATATTATTATTGACATAAATAGGTGTTGTTGTGCGGAACTAAAAGTTTTTTTTGGCAGGGGACACGCTCACGGACGTGCTAAACATCACAGCGGTAGGTAAGCAGCCGGGTATTTGCTCGAAATGTATATGCAAGGATGGCAAAGTGAATTGCTCCAGCAAAGGGCTGACCAAGTTCTTCCCACAACACAAATGGGCAGGTGAGACAATATGTGCTGTCTTGTTATTTATTATATATGCTTTATAATAAATAACAAGACAGCACATACAAAAACTATCTTTTAAACGAATGAATAATGTGCTTTTCTTAATATAATCTGTTTTAAACATGCGGCAATACATGACCTGTGCCCCTGTGGTATTAGATAAAACTGTAGTTACTGTAGAAATTCAGCCAGTGTTGCCAACTCGGATTTTGAAAAAGACGTAGGCCCGATGAGAAAATTACGTAGAATTGGTATATTTTGCATATGAAAAGTAAGTAGATCTACGTACTTTTTTCTGAGTGAAATGAAG